TTTGAAGAAATATGGGGCCCCGAATTACATAGATGTTGTATATTGTTGTATACTGTTTTCCTTTCCAACTACGAAGTTTGTATGTAACATCTAATTTGATGTTGAAAGGCTTTTTGTCCAAGAACGTGGAGCAATGTGTTTTTCTTTCAAAGTGGTGGGTTTCTTCATTGGGTGACATTTTTATTGGAAACACCCCTTATTTCCATGGATTGCTACATAGTTCTTTCCATAGTTCTTTCCCTGGACATTTGAAATCAACAGGAATCCAAATTTAAGAGACTAAGGTTTGAAATAAAATATACATGTTACTTTAGGATGATATATGTATATGTATATTCTATTGTTTTGTCCTCCGGAGATTCTTCCGCAGTGTCACTCTGATGCTGGATACATCAGGATGCTTTTTGGCTGACATGTGGAGCGCTACTCTCTGAGGTGAACCCATCGACAAGCGCAGTCATCACCAACGATGGAGTTGGTTTGAATCCGAACCAAACTGCGGGGGCCGTTTTCCTGAAGCACGGCGCTGATTTGAAGCTGATTCCCAGGGATCGCGTTGGTAGTCACAAGCTGGTTGGCGCATGATGCAAGACGTCGCCTGCGGACAAAAGGAGTGGATAGGAGTGGCAGTTCGAAATCAACTTGGGGTCAAAATTGATCAGCAGCTATCAAAGATGGAAACGTTGAATAATTAGTCTTCATCAAATTCTTTGAGACCCCAAGTGCCTGAACTTTGCCACATGGTCAAGAGAATGCTGTGACTGTCATGGTTCACTTCGATCGCGCGGAAACTCTGGAGTGTTTTGCCCAGGTGCTGGACTTTCCGATCCCAAATCCCACCCAACGGGATTGGCCGCCTCAACCTCAACGAGCGCTAGCGGCTAGCGCATGCGCGCATTTGCCCAGCTGCTCAGCTGGATGCTCCTGACCAGAACCCACCTGTGCTCAGGAACTTGGTTAGCACCAGGGACCACTGCTACAAATTTGTCCTTTTCATGCCAATGCCTCAGACAGTTGTTGAACAATTGCCAATGGAGATGAAAGGCAACAATTTGGTTTCAAGGAGGTTGCATAGCAAAGAGATTTCCAAGGAGCAGGTGGGTAGTTTAGGAACATATTTAGCCGGATTACAAGGTTTTGACATGTTTTGACCCTTCATAATCCCTCCATATGATGCGACTTTTAAAGACTGGGAGATGTCACAAGCATCCAAGGACTCGATTCATGGGACGAGGCTAGGTTCCTTCTTGGATGGCTGGCTGAATCGAAGCGATACGGACGTGTCAGGTATGTGGTATCTTTTCTTGGCCACCATGGTAGTGATCCCAGTTGGCTATGGATCAATACCTCTGAAAATACCATTTTTAGGGGAATGAACATCCATTTTAACCCAGCTATTTTGATGTGAACTACAGGGGTACAAGGTTTTGACACACTGCCAGTTCAGCCTCCCATCTCAGCAAAGCCATAAAAACCGAGTGGATGTTTTTTCTGAGGTGTTTGCTGCGTTGTGGGACACCAACATCAGCTGGTTTTTTGGAGGACTGAACCACAGGCTGACACCGCGACCTCAAGAAATCTGATCACACGACATTTAAGAAGAAGTCTGGAAAGGTCATGGTCATGAGTTTGGTTGTCAAATGATTTCAACTTCAACTAGGACTCTTTACCTTTTACCTGGTGCTGTTCAACACCTAGCTCTGTTTGCCTTTCTTCCGCAGTTTCTTGTGCAGTTTCGCCTGGATGTTCCGACCAATTTTCGCGTTCTATTAACTCCAAGGTTGGGTGCAATTGCTTTGTGGAAAGGCCTCGGTGGATGTGCCTGAAAGGGCACCGCTGACCTTGAAACTTTCATAAACTTTCTTTCTTCACCTCATTGGCAGATATTGGCAGTGGATTCAGTGGATGTTCATCTTTCATTGATTTTCATTGTTTGGTTTTGCCAGTTTTGCCGCTCTATCTCTGTGAAAGGTTTCTTTGGCAATTTGGTGAAATCACCAGGTTACTTGATCAGCATGCAGCTGGACAAAGCTAGAAACATCCTCCTCAGAGAGAAAGGCCTGGTTACCCGAGCTGAAAAACCACCAGTCAACGTGTCAACGAGCATCGGAAAAATCCACCAGCGCGATGCGAAAATGACAATCCTGTGCCCTTCAACAATTTCAACCTGGTTGGTGGTTTGGAAGATTTGTTATTTTTCCATCTATAATTATTGGGAAGAATCATCCCAACTGACTAATATTTTTCAGAGGGGTTGAAACCACCAAGCAGCAACAAATCGTGTTTCATGTGTTTTCCATGTGGCCACTGTGGCTGTCAGAAACGGGTGGAAGCCTGGATCATTACATTGCTCCAACCCAACCAGGCGAGAGGTTGCGGTGAGTTGTGATGACATGTGATGACTACTTATGCTGTAGAAATGGGTATGGATCAATACCTATAGATACCATTTTTAGTGGGATGAACATCCATTTACCAGCTATTTTGATGTTCACCAGGGGTACAAGGTTTTGACACACTGCCATGTGATGACTACTTATGATGTAGAAATATGGACCATATATCTGGGTAAATTTGATCACGACCTCACTGCGACCGAGCCCTGGAATCATGGTTAATAAGGGAAGTCATCCCCAAATGGCCTTAATTCAGATTAGTGAAATATTGTAATTTACCCAGATATATGGACCATATTAATACGTTGTCCAAAAGCAAGATTTCTAGCGAGGCTTGAGTTTCCGGTTGACCATCATGAAACCGTGGGCTGACAAGGGCTGACAAGAGGTTTACAAATGGTACGTTATACAATATATCATAATGGTGTTACGATAATGTATGTAGATGTGTGTGTGTGTGACTGCGGCTTGATTTGGATTCATCGGCAGGCTTAAACAAAGTTCAGTTCAAGGCCTGACTGCCCAAAATTGCGCTTGGCGGACCGTTCTGCAATTGTACAAGTGGCTTTAACTGCTAGGTTGAGTGCATGTTTCCAAGGGCTGGAACATGTCGAACATGTCAAAGCATCACGGGATTCAATGATTTTCAAGATTTCCTATGACTGATGGCATGCAAGGCACTCCTCAAGAACCTCACAAATGAGGAGGAGCACAGCATCCAGCAGCCATATATGCTGTGCATTGCTGTGCATCTGTGACCAAAGGGATGAGAATGATGAGACACGTTGCAGACACGTTGCAGACACGTTGCGGGTCGGAATGGCAGGAGTTGTTCTCGGACGATGATCTTGACTACGTCTTGAATGCGCTGTCTGATTCTCAAAGGTCCAGCATCATACATTAAATATACAGCATCCAGCAAGTTTGGAAGCGTGTAACAAGTGTGTTCAACCAATGGGCTTGGAGGCGAATATGAGGGAAAGAATGGAAAAGACGCACTTTGGAGTGCCAAACTAAATCGAGTTACAGATCAATACCTATGAAAATACCATTTTTAGTGGGATGAACATCCATAAATCCCAGCTATTTTGATGTGAACTACAGGGGTACAAGGTTTTGACCCATCCCCACATCAAGTTAGGACGCCAAGCTAAGGAGCTTTGTGCCGTCCAGTGATGGCATTGTGAGCCGGGAGGACTGTTGCTGGGAAGCTGTGCCGTCCATGGTGACCGGTGAAATTTGGGCCAGGAGTTCAACTACTGGGTCACCCCCGGCCTAATGCTCATGGTCTGAGGATTCCACAAGGCTGGATGGGGTGATTTTTTCATATACATTAATAATATATTATTAATATTAACGTTGATAATCATTGATCATATCAATAAATGTATATATTTATTATTATTTTCTGATAAATATTGATATATGGTGATATATGTATATATATAATTAAATAAGTGAAAAAATGACGACTGAAACCACGTGGCTCTACTTGGCTCTTTCTGAGGATGTGAATTCAAGAGGACAGCTGTGGCGGGGCTCGGTTTACTTGACCCTTGTGGATGTGCAGGGAAGCTGCAGCTGAATTGTTGAGAACATTCTTCATCACACGGTTCACCTCATTTTCTGGTTGGTGGTTTCAAAAAATGCTTCCCGTCATACTTGGTATGATGATCCCAACCACCCACGAACCAATTCCAGAACCCAATCAAAAGATGTCCAAAATATGCGGCTCTTGGTGCAGGACCGCTTGTCGTTCGAGTGCATAAGCGCTCAAGCTGACCGCTTGTCGAGGGTGCACCTCGTACAATTAAGCTGCCAAATCGCATGAGTTATGAGGTCTCCATCTTGGATTGTATGCTGAACTCCTTAATTAATAATATTAAATCCTGAAGTCTGACTGGTACTCGGTGACAATGATGATCCAGTTGATAGTGTTGAAGATGGTGAAAGGTGAATATGTTTGGAACATTTTGGAACTATCAGTGATCTATGATGGAGTATCTGATAGAAATGACAGATGTTTAAATATAGGGTCTTGAACTATTTTCTACCGTTGGAGAAGACCACTGCAGTGCAGCAGCAGATTGCAGATGTAGAGATAGGACTCAGCCGCAGCGCACTCAGCGCAATGCCGCGCTGTTTCACCCAGATGGACAGTAGAAGGACTGCCCATCGATAATTTGGGGGGGCTCTGGGATGGAACCGATTGCAATCGGAATTTCAAAGACTGACCTGGGAGTCTTTAAGTGTATTTAAGTGTTGGTATTTTCTTGCTCTTGCTGTGGCTGAAACAGCGGTCCAAAACGGTCAAAACAGCAGTCAGATTCAGCAGCTTTTGTCCGGTGTCCAGCTCTCAGGGCGAACCTCGCCAGTTGCACAGCCAAAAAGTGTTTGCTTCGGGCAGCGACGGGTGATCTCTTGGCGACTTGATGACAGTGTACGCAAGAATTTTCGGGAGTCGTAGTAAACTTGAATTGCCTGTTTTTAAAGTGATGAGTCCAAGCAAATATAAGATTAGCAGGTTTCAGAAAGAGAAGTCCTGAAGGAGTTTCCGTCATTTTTTACATGTTCCCTTCCCGGATCTCAAACGGCTGAAATCAGGGCCTCAGTTTGCTGCAAAAGCTTCACCTGGGACACAACAGGCAGCATGTGGCAGCATTTTGCTGGGAGGGGATGGTGTTTCAAAATGTTGAGTCAATGGCTGGGGATGGGTTTTCCTTCATCAATTCATCCATTTCAGACGTCTGACTTCGATCTATTTAACGATGCAACAACGGGTTGTTCATGGTTGTTCATCGGGTACAGTACCTGGAAGATCATCAAGATGGATCAAGATGGCGTGTAACTCATCAAGTGGGACTGGGGAATCTGGGGAATCTGGGGACCTGGAAGGGAACCAACTTCCACTATCCATTTGGAATCAGGGAGGATCAGGGGATGCTCAGGTTGGCGCGGATCGACTCCTTAGAAAGCTGCACTCAACTGGAGGACACCCGGACACGATAGTGTGCTCCAGGATCTGTTGGATGTGTTGTGTCATGGATAAAATCATGGATTCATCTATGAAAATCACATAAAGCGATGTTTAACGCGTATTACCCTCTGGTAATTTAACATAGCTATGGAAAATCACCATTTTTAATGGGAAAATCCACTATAAATGGCCATTTTCAATAGCTATGTTAAATTACCAGAGGGTAAAAATATCAAAATCCATCAACATCCCCAATCTTCAGAAAGACCAATGGTAGCATTTCAACATGATCACAACTTGGAGGAACTCATGGTGCCGCATCAGCAACCACCAGTCGAAGCTCCCCTACAGGTGGGATATTTGTGGCGTGAAATGTGACAGCATTGTTTGGTACAAATTTTCCCAAAATGTTTACATATTTCCCCATAGTTCCCCATCGTTTTCCAAGATTTTTCTTCATTTCTCCATATGGCAGTGAGTCAAAACTTGTACCTCTGGTGAACATCAAAATAGCTGGTGAATGGATGTTCATCCCCACTAAAAATGGTATTAATAGGTATTGACCCATACCCATATTTCCCAGCCTGGGAGTCCCAGCATATTTCCCCATCCCCGGAATCCCTTTGTCGGACCACGAAAAAACGCAGTTCTGCCAGTTCTGTCCGACATCGATTGCAGCAATTTCTTCAACGTTGAACGTCCTCAACACTGCTGGGAACCGTCTTGAGGACACCCCCGGGGGCTTGGCGACGCCATTGTGTCACGTAGTATCGTGTATCCTCCATTGTAACTGTATTGATATTGTTTGTATATGTTTATATATTTCATACTTCATTATAGCTCTTAATTTGGTTATAATATAGTTTATAATGGTTTGCAATAGTTTTCAGTAATTGATGTTGAATATTTAATATAACCAGTGTGAACCCTCAAAGAACTCTGCTTGTTGTGGACCGCTTTTCTTCTCAGTATTCTGTTCGGGTTGGTCTGCCAGTTTGCCTCCATCAGATTTTGCTGTAGATGTTTTTTTTCCCTGAAAACAGGGTACCTTAAAAAGTGCCTGGTTTGATTCTGATGTTCTCCGTTACCCATCATATTAAATATACCTACATATATACACTCATTCCGCATGTATATGTATATTTAATACTATATAAGACTATATCTATATTCTGAATAAGCATACACCCACAGACACATACATGCATGCATACATACATACATACACAGACATACAGACAGACATACAGACATACAGACATACAGACATACAGACATACATACATACATACATACATACATACATACAGACAGACAGACAGACAGACAGACATACATACACACATACACACATACACACACAGAGACATACATGCACGCATACATACATGCACACATACACACATGCATGCATGCATGCATGCGTACGTACGTACGTACATACATACAGACATTCATACATATATACATGCATACATACATACAAACATACATACATGTATACATGTACTCAATGTATATATATATATGATATCAATCCTCCATTTCTGCAGAACTCTTATTCGGTTTTCTTTTTTCAGTTCTCCGTCCCAGGACCTGCAAGAGCTGACACCTCTACGGCTATCGACCTTGGACTTGTCTGAGAACAAGATCCGTCAGGCCATGTCTGGGAAAGCTTCCGTCAGGACATATCTGGACATATCTGGGAATTTGGATATCCCAATAGTATCTATATAGTATATATTATAGAATCTATATAGTATCCAAATATCCCAATATATAATAGTATCCATATCCCAATATATATATAGTATAGTATAGTATATATATAGTATCTATATAGAAAATATAGAATTATATATTTATTGGGGAATATCATCAGAAAGATATGGTTATAGCCGGTTTTTAGGATGGTCATGATGATTGTGTTTCTTTTTTCACAGGGATTTGATGTTTTCTGACCATTGAAACGATTCACGTTCGGTGATGAAATCCAGAGTGTCTGGTGCTAAACGCAGGGAATGGATGGGTTGCTGGGGGTTGCTGGGATGATTATTGATAGATAGCCAGTGGATCATTCCCGAAAATTCCCTGCGTAGAACGCACCAGTAAGTTGATCAACATTGGCCAAACTTTCTGCCAGTTCCTGTCACAGAAATATGCAGGTCGGTGAGCTCAAAGAAGTGATCTCAGGACGACAGTATTCCAGAGCGTTTATGATGCGACACGTGATGATCGTAAGGGTCGTTCGATTCAATCTCCACGTTCAGGTTGATTGTCACATAGTGTCAGCTATAGATTCTATTGTTGATGGTTAGCAAATTTCCCACATTCACCTCACCATAGAATTTCTATAGTTGATGCGAAACGTGATCATCCCAAATGATGCGTGATCACGCTGCCATGATTGCCATGACGTAGGGAACTTCCGTTTCCCCAGGAGATGTCCTGCGCCGCGTGACTCTGCAAGGGTCGGATGCGCTTTTTTTTTTAAGGTCAAATTATGATGATCCTATATGATCCTATAGTGGTAAGTTACATGTCTATAGATATTTGTAGTGCTCTGATCTATAATATATTTATAATATAATATATGATGTATATAATTAATTATATATAATATATAATATATGTAGTGCTCAATGTATATCCTATTGCGATGCTGTAACATAATATGCCTCATTTCTGGCTTGTCAGCTGTGGGCCTGTGTTTTTCAGCGAAGCCAGGAATCCCTTTGCCTTCCATGATCGACGCTATCGTAGCGCTGTTGTCCTTTGCAGCACTGCCATAGAGGCGAACGGAAGGTGTGGGAAATCTCTGGTCATCCTCCAAGGTTTCTGCCGGGGTGAATGGTTAAAGTACGCTATGTGAAAAAACAGCTACGGTCACCTACGAAGTTCATAGTGCAGCGAAGATATTTCATGATATTTAATTCGAATTCAAATCTGTACTGGTTGGTGGTTTCAAACATTTTTTATGTTCCATTTCATATATGGGATGTCATCCTTCCCATTGACTTTCACATTGTTCAGAGGGGTAGGTTGAAACCACCAACCAGTCATTATTACTAACCATCATTAACCATCTATAACCATCATCATTAGCCATTATTAACAGTATATTCAAACATTTCTTAACAGTAATTGGAGTTTCCTAATATCTTCATACCCCATGACGGATCCGGCTGGTGCTGGTAGATTAATGCTAACATGACTGGGGTTAATCTTGATGGGATCCATGGCACACCATTTTTTTCGCAGCACCGTGAATGGATCCGTCATGGCTGGAATTTTTGGAATACCCCACGCTGGGACGACCGACCGACAGGAGATTGATGGTCGCGAAGTGCTGCCTCAGGAGACGTGGCGCCTGGTCGTTGCGGTCAGCCGAACTTCCGAGTCAGCCGAGGTCGACACCGAGTCAGAGAGGTTTCTCAGTCAGGTGTCATTTCCAGAATTGGAAGAACATCTGCGGTAAAAGCAATGGTACCAATGTAAAACGACTGTTTAAAGTATACTGAAAATTGAGGTGAATGTTGATTTCCCCTTGAATCGAGCTGATCATTGAATTTGAGCTGTTCAAAGGCCGATTGATTTGCAGGAGCGAGACTTTGTCAGACGGCTGGACGAACAGAAGCGCAAACTAAATGTCGCATCCTTAGGGAGAGAAGAGCACGGAATCATTTGTGCTTGGCACTCCATTAGCATGTGGTGCTTGGCAGGCACAGCGCAAAAAACATCTGAACCGCGCAGCTACGGATGGAAGACCAAGAAATCTTGGTGCCATGCCCGAGAAGGCACTTTGACGGGACAATGTGAGATGTGACAATCTATGCAACGGAACTCAGACTTGCTTTGAGAGTTCCTGGCGTTGATGTTTGGAACTTTGTCATTCTTGTGCGCAGCCGAAACACCTCATACATCAGCTTATTTTTTTTAATGATGTTTGTCGCAATGATGTACGACCATATGACTTGTTCAAAGTGCATCTCTTTGTTTCCACGTACTTTATCTTTCAGACGACAATATTAGAACAAGTTACCTCAAATTGATCTCATATCTTTGATATTATGACTTTCAGAGGGAACGGCCAGACACATTGCTTCGCAGCCACCATGGCGATCCAGCGTAGAGTTTGTTTGCTGGTTCTTGGTTTCTCCCTCACAGCAGGCTTCATTGATTTGGTGACCTTGGTGCACTTCAGTCAATTCGCAGGTTTGCAAACTGGCAACATGATTCTGATCGGAAGGGACTTGTATCGACTCACCCTGCCAGATGAGTCAAAAACGGAGCTTTTGAAGGCCATTGCTTTTCACGTTGCGACGCTCATAAGCCACTTCGCTGGTGTCCTATGCTTTTGCGCATTGGCCCACACATGCAAGGGCCCAGTACGTGTTGGAGCTTGGTTAAAAGGACGCCCAGTCCGTGTTGGGGCGGTGCTAGTGGGAGTTTTGACTCTTTCTGGTGCACTTCTAGATCTTTTGTCCAAGGGGAATGAGTGGAGTGTTTGCTTCATCGCAGCTTCCATGGGGGCCAGAACTTTATTCCCTCGCCCAACTCGGAACTTGGCAGCAAGCTTTTTTTGATGACTGTACTGACCACCGGAAATCTGCAGAAATCTGCCAAGATGCTGTTCAAGTTGCTGATTTGCCAGCGTTTTACAGATGCTGAGAAGCAACAGACGTGCTGTGCTGTGACGACCATTTTCGGTACCATCCTGGGTGCCCTTTTGGGTGCACTGGCGCTCTTTGGAAATCCTTTCGCTTCGAAGCCATACGGCGACTCGATCTACTTGCTGCTGATGTCTCCTGTGCAAACAGTTTTGCTCTGTTTGCACGACCACATGTTTCGCCCGCCAACCTCTGATTTCAATCAAGCTTCGACGAGCCTCGCTGCAGTGCCTTCATCGGAAGCATGACTCAAACAGCGAACGACCCCAGCGAGATGAGGTATTTTGATATGGCCCCCTTGATGGTACAATTGACAATGTGATAACATATGATAATGATAAATATTATATATATAAATAACATGAATCAGTTAAAGTGGGTATTTCGTCCGTCAACAGGATAGGAATGCACTGGTCCAAAGTAGTCCTAAGTCAAAGCTACGTGTTTTTCGATCTTTTTCGGTGATCCAGGCACATCTTCCATTTCAGCTGACCGTTTCACATGTCGAAGCAGAATCTCTTTGAACTTTCCATAGTGAAAGCTGCACACCTGCTGTAGTCAATTCCGCGACGAGAAACGAGTGCAGACTGTGCTTGGTAGGACCAGCTTGACTTGTAAGAAAGCGAATACACACGCACACCCACATGATCACATATATATATATTATATATATATATTATATGTATATGTATGTAATATGCCATCAACAACTGTAGTGACTGAGGTATATATATATATCATGATACATCCAACTGGCGTTTTGACTTTTGCTTGTTCTGTTGTCAGGGATCCGGCCGTCAACTGAAGCCGGCTGAAGGCCGGATGCTGACTGTTTGTCTGGCTGCTGTGTTTCCGACGAGTGACAGTTGCGGGCTGCTGCGCGGGCTGCTGCAGGCGAAAGTTGGGGGCTACAGGACATCGATTTTCCAAGTTTGCTCATGAATGTTTGTGTTTCGATTCAACGAGAGTGTCCAAAATGGCTTGTGAGCTTTGAAAATTATGGCATTATGGATCCTTTTGAATCAGCACATAGACCTGAAGCAAGACAGCTTTTTGCAATCCCGGCGTAAAAAGTTCACACATGAAACCTGTGGAAACCTGTGACAAAGATTCCTGCAGATTTGAGCCATAGGACTGGAAATTCTGACATGACTTGTTTGAAGATGATCTAACGCTACGACAGAGCTGAACATGCCTTGTAGATAGAGCCCTGACAGCTTCCACAGGGTAGCTTGTGTACCAGGTGACCCTACAAATCAGCAGATAGCTTAACGACTTGAAGTTGTTATGAAGATGTCAGGATCCCGTATGTCACCGAATTTATGCATGTTATGCCAGGAATCGTCTGGCTTTAAATGCCAAAAAGGTAGGACAGTCACAATTTGAGCTGTAGACTTGCCCTGAAAAGAAATTCAGCACTTGCTCCGAAAGAAGAAATCTCGCCAAGGGTGCTGAGTGCTGCCGCTCATTTTTTTCCTATAGGTCCTATGCCATTTGCATTGTTTTGCATTGTTTTGAATCATTGTGCATCTTTATTGTCAAACATGATAAACATGCTTCCTGGCTAGTCATTTTCAGCGATCTGCTGCCGGCTCAGCTCTGTAAAACATGGCGGGGCAAATCCCGCGACCCACCAATGTTGGGCACCCAGCAAACTGATGGCATGAGGATGGAAGATGTCAGACGCGAGGAAGATCAATGTGAGTCTTTTTGAGCAGTTTGCCAGAGGCTCGATGGGGGTGAAACCTAAGTCATGTCCCGTCATTTGGCTCCCCCAATAGCTGGAGGGTTTATTTCACGGACAATCTTATATGAAAATCATTGAACATCCAATAGCTGGATGGTTTATTTCATGGAAAATCCTCTGAACATCCGAAAATGACATGGATTGTTTAGAGTTTAGGGCTACCCCCATGTTTCAAAACGAAAAGTCACGGAACCCCTTTACCGTTTCCCAGGTGGAAACGACCAATACTGGGACCACCTACCACATCCAGGAGGATGGCAGTAAGGCGGGGGTCAACAAAAATAAGAACAGGCCGATGTCATCGATGATCGACTGATGCAGTTGTTGTATCCCATATGCTCCATGGTGCTGGAATATGAATCCCATCATTTACCCCATTTTTATGGCCCAAATGTAGGTAAATGTTCTATACATGGAGCATATGGGTATGTTTTTTAAATTACTTGTATGAAATGTTACCATGATTTAGCCATCATTTAGGCTGCCTAATATGGTGGAATCATATTTTATCATCATATTCCAACTGTGGTCCAATGCTGTAGGCTACAGAATCTATATTCACAAAATATATGTATAACTTTGGCTGGGAAATATGAATATGAACGACATACTTAAAACTTCATGTTTATCAATATTTGTGATCTGCTATAAAGTATTCAGAACAGGTTCAGCAGATTCATAAAGATGTGTATATATATAATATAATATATATATATACCTATACATATATATATATACATATACATACTTATAACGATTCTATACAATTCTAACATGTTACTTGCTCAGAATTGCCTGAGGTGATCGCTGGAACCCGGCGGCCGGATGGCACCTATCGAAAGCCCGTGCGAGTCCGGGCAGGCTACACTCCTTTGGAGGAGAACTTGTACAAAGGTCCTGAGGCGCAGAAGCGTTGCTCCATCGCTGGAGTTTAGGCTATCAACATCGTGCTGACGTGGTGCTACCGAGATGTGCTGTTTTTTCCTCTTGTGATTCATGTTTGTTTTTCTATGGGAGGTGCAGCAGCGAGCACAAGCAAGGTCCAATGGACAGTTCATGACAGTTCTGACATGACGGGACAAGCAGCCAGCAGATCCGGTGATGCCCAAGTCTCAAGGAAAAAGTTGAAAATGATTGGGGCAAGCATAGGTTTTTGGACGAGGACAGAGTGATGGTTCATCACAGTTCCAAAGTCAGTAGATTCAAACATCCAAGAAGCGGACGAAGGGAGATTCTGCAAGAATTCCCAAGCATTTTGGGGGTAGAAACCATGGTTTCCGATGAAGATTTTCCCTTAAAGCAACAGTGGTGTCCCAATCTTGCAGGGGAATTCCTGGACTTGGCCCAGAGACACAACGCCCATCTGCGAGGCCGGGGAGTAATATATGGAAAAGGTCTACATTGATCGAACACCTATGGAAAAGCTTGGAAAACCTATGGAGAACCCATTGGAAAACTCATAGTATAGTTCAGTATAAAGAATACGATTGATGTTCTATCACTTTTCCCTACGCTTTGATCAAATGATGGAATGATGCAGGAGTGGTCACATTCCTGGCATGGTTGAGAGCTGAGATGGGAAGTGGATCATGAGTGGCATTCACTGAACATCATGTCTTTTGGGGGTTTTACCATCAATACCTTGCAATGGCCAGCATTGAACCACCACTTTTATGACTTTTGCAGCCTGGAAGATTGGGTGCTGAGCAGCCTTTGAAAACAAAGGCGCCGGACAGCGAACCGAAGGCAAAGCCAAAAGCATCTTGTTTGCAAGAAGCACAATACCGCAGAGCGACCATGAGAGGAATGAAGGCGTAAAGATCAGCAATAATGTCCCTGTGAATCCCAAGTATGATCTATTTCAAGACAAGTATTCTCAGGGTGTGGTAAACCCAACTCATGGGTTTTCTGTGTTTTTCATGCTGACTCAATGAGGTACTTAAGTCATGGGAGATGGTGCCAGGTTAGGTTCATTTAGGTTCCCAGACTTTGACCATTTGACCCCAAAGGGGGCTGGCAAGCCCAAGGCAAAGCCGAAGGAGCCGAAGGAGCCGAAACCGCAGGCGCCCAAGGCGGAGGTCAAAGCAAAGGCAGCGCCCAAGGCAGAGGCAAAAGCTGAGCCTGCTGCGACCTCAGGCGCCTCAGGCAGGAAATGCACATCTCAAATTTCTGAACACCCTGGATCAATAAGCTCCGAGTTGATTTGGTAAATTTGGTGTGCCAGATAAATACATTCTAAATATGTGGATTAGATATATTCTGATATAGTTGAGTTCCAATTTACACTAACCATAAATTACCATAGAATAATATGAGTATCACTGAGTGATACTGTATCACTATGGACCTCCGAATTTTCACCAAGGCCAAACCGGAGAATCGCCTGAGAAACCTCCGAGACTTGGCGTTGAAAATGGCCAGGTTATGTCAGGTTCGTGTGAAAAGTCGGGAATGTGATGGTGAAAATTGGTGAAACTTGTGATGACCCACAGGATCCATGGTGCTGGTATATATGCTAACATAAAGGGGGTATATTGATGGGATCCATGTTACCATATATAGCATACATGGATCCTATGGGTGATGAGAAAATGAACTTTTGGGGTATTCCACTTTCAGATAAACCGTGACACACCTTTTCTGGGGGAGCTGTGATCAAAACGCAAAGAAGCAAACAAGGTTCCGGCGCTGATAGCGGACCCGTGTTTTTTTAATGGTTTTTATATACGTCATCTTTTATTGATGTGCTTAAAACTGTGGCGCCGTGACGATTTTGTTGTTTTGCCTTATAATAGAAATGTTGTTTTCGTCCCACGTTATGCTAGGAAATTATTCATTGACCATTGAATTCTATTGGTCGAAATATTCTGCAAACCTGGATTTGGAAAGCCGGGTTTTCACACAGCGTTTTGTGCTCTTCTTTCTCTCTTCATAGGTCTCAGCGTTTGCGTTTGTCAACTCTGGCTGCCAGTTTGGCTAGACTTCCTTTCAAGTCTGCTTTGTGGTTCCAACGATAGGCGAAGGACCACACATATTTTTGGATTCGTTTTGGTCACCTTGTCTTTGCTACTCAGGGAGAAGAAGGGTGTGGCAAGTGAGAAGAGACATGTTACAGCGTAGCATCAAACGCGTGTGGCAAGTGACAAGAGACATGTACAGGTAGTATAGCGTAGCATCAACAGCACCCATGTGCATGTGGCAAGTGACAGGAGACATTTTACAGCGTAGCATCAAGATACGTGTTACAGTGTAGCATCTGGCGTTACGGAGCTCTAGCTCCTGTGCCCCCAACCTCCCACCCCCAACCCCACCCGGTCCCCCAAGAAAGTCAGACTATCCTTCGTGCACAACTTCTAACTATTAACTGACGAGCGCAACTTCTAACTGACGTGCACATCTTCTGACTGACGTCCACAACTTCTAACTGACGCGCACAACTTCTAACTGACGTGCACAACTTCTAACTGACGCGCGCAACTTCTAACTGACATGGGATGCGGTAGCAAAAAAAAACAACAAAAACTGCGGGTCCGTTAACAGCGCCGGTAGCGCAAACAATGGACATAGCACATTATCAAAACTTGTTTTTCTTGTCCCAGGTAAGAAGCTTGCTGAGATTGACGCATTGGAGGTGGGGTCCACCCATGGATTTGTGGCTACAGGTGTCATGGCTCATGAAGGCTACCAAATGCCATGTCAGCTTCCAAGGCGTATGATTATGTTTTTGTCCGACTAATCATGTTTGTGGATCATTCTGTTCATATTAGGCGAGACTTTTCAAGTTGTTTCTCTAAAAAATCTGCCAGGAGCGGGCTGCAAGCGATCTCTCAGAGGCACGGAAAGCACAAATTTCCATGGAACAAAATAGACACATTCCTAATCCCAGAACATTTTCCAGGGCATTTGGATGTGTCTGAAATTTTGGTATACCCCCAAAATGGTTTTCAATATACTATCCTTTATCTAATTAGGAAACTGATCATCAGCTCCTGTATTCTGGGGTACCATATTCTCCGACAAAGCTGGAGATCGGCAGAGGAACAAAAGCAGAAGATCTCTCGAAAAGACGAGCTGCAAAAGGAGGCTGCTGGGGGTGTCTGTTTGGGTTTACCCGCAGCATCTCTCAGCTAATCAAACGTGGCTAGCTGGAAAATCCATGAAAATCCCCCGAATTCAATGGAAGCTTCCAGATGGGAACATCACCTCTGAATGGGACATGTTTCATTGACATGTTGACTGCCAGAGTTTAAGAGCCGCATTGACATGTGACAAGGTGGAAGATTTGGAGAAGGAGATTGCCCAACTACAAATCTAAAAAAAGAGAAATCAATATAGATTTGAGACAAAGTGGGCAATGCAACAATTGCAGGATGGGAATTATTCATATTCACGCTAAATAGATAGACGTAATCAATATGTTTTTTTTCACAATCATGTATTTGAATGCTTTCGTTCCTGTATATTTTTTCAACGGCCAATATTTTGAAATGATATATTGAGAATACATATTTTCTTTAGCATATTATATTACAATAGCAACACAGTTGAAAACTGAAAAAAACACATTTGTTTTAATGATGAGAATAAACAACACTTATTTTGATATTGAGGAAAACTTCTATTTAACAAATATGTTAAATGTTCACAGTTTTGGGTCTAGAATTGTATGATTTAAAATTTAATTAAACTTTATGGTTTTATTTTATAATCAAAAATTAAAAGATTGAATGGTAAAAAATAGTTGAATTTGGACGGATGCATAATGTTGTATTAAAATTTAACATATCAAAATTTTGTTTTTGAAGTTTTACTCAAAACTAAATAGAATAACTATATCAACGCAAACTTAAATAATTTTAAATATATTATTCAAAACCTTATTTTGGATAATTAATTATTTCTTAAACGGATGGTGGGAGACGTGGACGGCAGGATCAAAACTATGCATCCAATCTGGCCACACATTACCCAAGTTTTGACCACGGCACCCTGAGAATTATCAGTGCAAAAATGACAGGGCTTCGCCATGGTTCGCCTCATTGATCTTGATGACATAATATATTATATATATACATATATGGCTATGGATCAATACCTATACATACCATTTTTAGGGGGATGAACATCCATTTACCAGCTATTTTGATGTTCACCAGGGGGATAGGGTTTTGACCCATCCCCATATTAATTAACCAACTTGAATTAATTTCAGGCCATTTCAGGCCATTGTGGGTTGTCACTCCTACTTTTGCCACCTTTTTCCCACCTTTTTCCCACCTTTTGAAAAAAATGTCCGGCTGCTTCGGCATTGCAAGTCACGCACCTGCGAAAACGTCCAGAACTGCGAGCAATTGGAGTAAAGTCCTAGGACTTTACACCTCTCACCGTACCCTGAACATCCCTGAACCCATTTGGAGAACGGTCAGCCATGAAGTATCGCTTGGAGGAAGGACGATTTCAATACGCAAAGCTGTCTGAAACTTGATACTGACTTAAAACCGATCATACGGATCGTTGCATCAGCATCGGTAGGTTGTAATGGCGCCATTTCAAGGATATATTTTCCATACCTTCCAAACGCCCCCGAGCTGAGTCATTTTTTCGCTGCGTCAATGGACACTGTCTTCAATTTTTTTTCACGTGGTCCTTGCTTTTTCGGTTTCCTAAAATGGTCCCAAAATTGATGGTTCATGATGGAAAATCTTATTGAAGTGGATGATGAATGGGGATAGCCCTATTTTAGGAACCCCCCTCACTTGTGTAAACAATGTCTTGCTTGTTTGTGTCTGCCAACATGAAGTTGATCCGGTTGATCTCTGAGGATGCCATTTTTCTTTCTTTCAAGCGTCTAGCGCTCTGCCTCATCGCATAAAATGGCTGTCCTGACAAACTTTCCAACATGAATAAGTGAACCATGGACCAATCTGGCTGAGTCTTTACAGTTTCACCAGTCAGCATCTTTTCGATAATGGTGTTTCCAATGGCGGAAACTTGGGGCGCAATCTACTGAATCTACTCGCATATCATGAGACACAGGCGTTTGTAGGTTATATAATTTTTCATTCTGGAAATGAGATCTTCTTGCAATCTCAACGGCGGATTTTCGATCCTCAGTTAATTCCAAAACCATGAGCGGGCTCTGGATTTTTTAGAAGCAGACAGCGTGTTTGAATTTTGAGTCGGAATTCTTTGATGCTGTTTTGGTTTCTTGCCCCTGTGTGAAAAGCATGCTAAAAAAATCGAACTTGGTGTTGTATGCAAGCCCATTTAGTCTTCGACGTTGCCAAATGCAGCCTTGTGTCTGTGTGTGTGTGCCGTTGATTCTTTCCTGCTTCATTTCTTTGTTGTGGTTGCTGTTGCTGTTGTTGCTGTTGTTGTTGATGATGTTGTTGTTCTTGTTCTTGTTGTTGTTATTGTTCTTGTTTTTCCTGTTGCTGTTGTTGCTGTTGTTGTTTTTGATAATGTTGTTGTTGTTGTTGTTGTTCTTGTTCTTGTTCTTGTTCTTGTTGTTCTTGTTGTTCTTGTTGTTGTTCTTGTTGTTGTTATTGTTCTTGTTATTGTTCTTGTTATTGTTTTTGCTGTTGCTGTTGTTATTGTTCTTGTTGTTGTTGTTGTTGCTGCTGTTGTTGTTGTTGTGGTTGTTGTTGTTGTTGTTGCCGTTGCCGCTGCTGACAGTTGATACCAGTTTGGTTGCACCTGGTACTAATTCATGAAATCATACAAATCAAACCAGCGGGTTTCATATTTGTGTTTGGGTCAGATCCAGCTATTGTTCCAACATTTTCAGTGTGTAGTGACTATAGTGAAAAGCGCCTTGTCATCCTTCTCACCTTGGCTCACAGCTGTACAATGCGACACAGCTATGACAAGGAAAGCTTACATCCATGTGCACAAACTTTGTATCGTGATATAGTTTTACCCTGCCAGAATGCATAGTTATGAATCTTAAAACTGAAAACAAACAAACAAACTGATATATAAACCAAACAAACTTTGAACCTTCGTGGGGAGAACTAACTACCAATGACGAGTCATGTTTGAAAAACAAATATGTACATTTGACCTTTTTTTACCAACTCAGTGACAAAACACAACCAGGTACCATCCGAATAACATCTTCGCCATGGAACCAATTCAATACATTCAGCGTATTCGCAAGAATCAGGTGGGGACCATTCGGGGGCCCTGCTGCCGAACTTCGGTGGCGTTTCACGTTTCCCATTGGATGTATTTATCGGGTGTGTAGAAAGCCCTTTGACAACACCATCTGGTTAACATCCATGGAAAATCACCATTTTTAATAGGTAAACCCAGATAAACCATCTATAAATGGGCCATTTTCCATGGCTATGTTAAATAACCAGATGGTAAATGATGATAGATGGTTTTGCCAGCTCCCGGACTCCCGGCCCCTATTTTTAAACCAAAAAGGACAAAACGTTGGGCAAAACGTGTCCCACCTCGGCACCAAACACGCAGAGTGGCTGAAATGAATGGCCAGGGAACTCCAGATCGAGTTGCTGGCGACTTCGAGGCGAGTTTGGCATCTACGGTGACGTCAAAGGGCCCTGCTTTTGTTGGTGAACAAAAAGGAAACAAACCCACAGACACACACTAGACAAATCTAGACAAGAATTTGACTCATGAAAACAAATTCTATGAACTAACTGTTTTCTTTCTAGGTGTGTCTTATTTTGAGAGCATTTCCAACATGTTATTTTCCAGGTTTGTCTAGAGCATTTCGCAGAACTGGAGACAGACAGGTCCAAATAGATTGCCCTGATAAAACTCATTTTTGCAGGGAAGGCCCTAGGCATGCAATTTGGACTTGAATTTCAATCATTTTGGTAGTATATCATTAGTATCATTACCACAGTTATCGGTTCAAACCGTCTGGCGCCAGCCGCTTCGCATCGCTGCCTGGGTGTTTTACGTCGAGTCTCAAGCCATGGGTTTCGGGCAGTTTGCTGCAACCACACAGGCGGGTACCTTTTCAGCCGTCGTGGTGTGAATTCGCGGCGAAAATGTGATGTGTCGCCCTGAGCTAATGGTTGTTTTAATGGGTACCCTCCGTAAATTAACAGTTTGACCCTGGCAGTTTTCGGGGTTGGAAGATTAGTTTCCATTAAACATTGTTTATTTTCAGGGTCAACAAGTTAATTTACCAGAGGGTAATAGTTAATGATAGTGGGTAACTATTATCAGGCTAATATTCCTATGTCAATTATTTTCATGATTATAGTAATTAATGATTAATGATGTTTTCCCTTTTTTCGATCAAATGTTCAAAATTGAAGCTATGGAATAGCAACTATTTAAAATGGACATTATAAATATTACAATCATTAAATTATATATATTAAATGACATTTCTCGAAGAACTCCAGGGTCTTATTGCCATTGCCATGGGTAGTTCCAGCTTCAGCCGTGGGCCCTGTCCCAGTTCTTTCTCTATGGCAAGCGACATTTCACCAGCAGCGGCTGGGAGATGCACAAAGCCAACTATGCCCAGCCGGACAAAGGGGTGAAAAATGGCCCGGAAAAAGCCCAGAAACCGTGGTTCCTCAGTGTTTTTTTTTGAACTTACTTAAGATATCTTATATATCTTAAGATCACTGTGCGATTTTTTTTCTGATTTCTTTCACATGAATATATATATATATATAATATAATATAATATATATATATAATATAATATATAATTAAGAGGATCTTTTGTAGATATATCGCACCGATGAAAAATCACCGTCAACTGGCCCGTAAGAATGGACATCTCAAAAGGATTGTAGCTGGCCTTGAAGTCAGCCTCGCACAGACATGAATTCCTTGTGGGAAGTAGCAAAACATGACTCTAGGTCGACCTCCAACCCTCGGATGTCAAACCAAACTCCCAACCACTGACCACGAAATCTCTTGGCCAAATTTGATGCACAACCAAATTCGGAAAGCATCAGGCAAAGCCATTTATTGGGTGTTTTTTTAATCTACACCCACGTTTCTGCCAGGATTTGCGGCTGACAGAAGGGTGTTTTCTTTTGAAGGGATAATATCTGATAATATAATCAAAATAGTAGATGGGGAAGGGATAATATAATATACTGTAATATAATGTAATATAGCTAATATTTCCATAATGCAACATATTATGTATATATATATATCTCTAGCTATTAGTATACCTGATACTTTGTGGATACTTCAAATTATAATTTTAAAAAAAACAATGTATGGATAACTATATATATACATATATATATGATCATTAAAGGATGTCCACATGTCACTTCATTTCCGCCTGGGTCCAGGACTTGTTGACAGCCCTGGATCTCAAGGGACAAGTCTTCATTGTGTTTCCTGGCTACGCTTGCAAGTGAGGTACATACATAATATTTTCAATACATTCTGGTGTAGGGATGTATATTATATACAATATATACTATATAATATAATATAATATAATATATTATAATATAATACAAAATAAAATAATATATGGTCAATATGGGGTTTAGTGATAGATCATTTGAACAATAGAGATCAAACCAGCACACACTTGCAATGGTTGGAGCCGCGGAAGGTCCGTCATGGCTGCCACGGCTCGATGAACTGCAGCGGAATGGACAGCGGAATGGACAGTCTCTGCATGCTTGAGATTCAAGCTTACAATGCTGCGACTGCATGTACATATATGTACATTACACATACATAATATATATATATATATATTATATTATATATTATATATTATATTATATTATATTAGATTAGATTATATTATATTATATATACTATATACATCATATTTATCTACTTGGATTCATGCATCCATCTCACGGAACGTTCAATGTCATAAGTAATCTTAAGTGACCAAAGAAAAGGTGGTTTCGCTGTTGATCTGTTCCCTTCCAACTCGCATGTTTTTTTTGGTGGATGGGATTCCCCTCGTGGGTCATGCGCGGCCCCCATGGCGATCTCCGGCACGGGTGTCTTGGGGGAGTTGGTGGTACCTCCCAGCCCCCTGAGCTGTTGTGATGCATTGGCACTACTCTGTGCCAGTCGCAGCTTTGCAGAGGCCCTGGAAACATCCCCTGGTTGTATCCATACGATTTCAAGTTTGGTCGATGTTGGGTTAAGCATGGTTAAGCTGTTTTGGGCACCATGTTTTATGTTGTAACGTTACGGGAGAGGCTTCAGATGTACCCTTGAGGACCGCCTGAAAGTGGTTGCGTTATACAAGTGGTACTGCAGCTTCTGGGTGGATTCTGACGTGGAGAGTTCCATTGAACTGCTGCCGCTCTGGCGCCAACTGCTGGTGTCTTTGCAGTCAGTCAAGCTGGCAAAGCACCCAGGTGCCCGCGAAGCGGTAACAGGGTGGATAGCGAGAAACGTAGAACGAGTTTATGCCTTCCCCAATCAATATTATACCTATAGCCAGAACATGCCAGAACCCTGATTCAGACATGAGCTCTTCATCCCATATACCAGCGTGTGTTTCTATGGATGGGACGGGATTATTGCTGCTTCCAACTAGGCCAAGCTGTGTGCTAACATTCTCTGATAACGCCTCCCTCAAATTGGAGTGCCTGGTGGTAGTTGATTGCAAAACAAGCATGTCCTGGAGGACAATCTCAATTTTTACCAATGGTGGGTGACTAAGCCTATGACCCATTCACAAGTTGGAAACACCAGGGGAGGACTTATCACAGTCAAGCAGTCACCTGAGATTGGAATCTTGTCAGCAGTTGGGATAGATCTGAGATTCCTTTCCTAACTGTGGCTTAAAAAAACCAGCCCATTTTACATGTTAGATCACATTTTTGGAGGTTTCCTATAGGGGTACCCCCAGTTCTCATCCATTTGAGCCACGTTTTTTTTCCAGATGATGGAATTTAGATTGCGGAGGAACTCACATCATTCATGCGTAGGCTATTCTGCTTGGTGCGTAGGTTTCGCGTAGGCATATATACGTACCTAGACCTTCCATCGTACTATAATTTTTTGATCTTTTAGGTCAACGACTACTTTTGGAGATATCGCCCAGAAAAAGTAGTTCTTAACCAATACGAGCAATTTATCATATTTTAAGGCTTTTAAGGCACTTGCAATAGTACACCCTCAAACATCTTGTTTGAACACAAATTTCCCAGGTATAGATGCAAAGCCCCTGGTTTTGAGAATTGGTCATCATCATCATCATCATTCATCCATCCATCCATCCATCGATCCATCCGCTCGTAGCCCAGGGAGTTGTTGTCCTCAGTTCCAGGTTGCGGTGGGCAGCTCGTGAAAGACAGGCACAAAAGAATAAGAAGATGATGGGATAATTATGGGATATTCAATTTAGAATTATATGGGATATATCCAATACAAATCAATTTAAACTATGCATGTAGCATATATAGAGCAAAACACATCAACACAATGATTGCAACAGCCAGCCTTTCGAAGATTTTTCAACCACTTTTTGTATTACTTACCCTCTGGTTATTTAACATAGCCATGGAAAATGGCCCATTTATAGATTATTTTCCCATTAAAACCTCAATTTATAAGGATTTTTTCCATGGCTATATGTTAAATAACCAGAGGGTAATTTAGAGCTGTATGATGGCTTGGTTCGGTGGGACGCGCCGAGCCACCCGCTGGAAGGAGAAGGCCGGTGATTTTTGTTCCATCACTTACTTGCGAGTTGGGATTGTTGGAAAATTGAATTTGTTTTGGAAACCATTGTGGGACCATGGTGCAGCTGGGCTCCAGAAGTAACTATGAGTCTGCAGAAGTTAGCAGCATCACAATCCCAAAACATTCAAAAAACTTCCCATGGCTTTCCATGGCATGTTAAAAAAGTAGTACAGAGGATGGTCTAGGAAAGGTATTTAGGGATATATAGTATATATACCTACACACTCACATATATGTAATATTTTTTTTTACAGAAACATCAGAAACTCGTGCAGCCATGAGTGAAGCAAGTTCTGCCACTGACTTGGCGCGCGCTTGGGAGTCGATTCCAGAGCTTAGACGTCTTGCGCACCAGCATAAGCTTGCTCCTAGGCCTATTGATCAAACAAATGATACCGCGGTTCCAAATCAAAATGAGACTCCAGTTGACACCAATTTATTTATTTTTCATGTGTGATTGTACATAAGGTGCAGTTTGTCCAGGAGGATCGCATCAACCGAGATTCGCTGACCCAGAACGAGAAGTTGATCATTCAGACACTCAATCATCTTGGGACAAGGGTGTGCGTTCAAACTTTGGAGGTTCACATTGTAAGCTTCTACTGCCTGATGAATATCCCTGTTCCTCGTGACATGACCTCGATAGATATCCTTTTGTCCAAATATATGCTAGTGTCCCATATATAAGTGTTTTTCTTTTAACAACGGTGGGCCCTGTTGTAAGGTAATGTGGTCACCATACAAGCTTGGGCCTTACGGCGAATGACTTCGGTGTACAACCTGGTGACCCGACGGCCCCACGTCCCTCGGGAAAAGGCATTGCGCAGAATTCTGCAGTCGCAAGGTTTCGATGTGGAGTTGGAGTCACCACCCAAGCCAGGGCCAACCGCAGGCTCTGACCCGCCAGGTGATGATTCTGATGAAGAATGTGATATGATGGAAGAGGATGAGGAGTCAGAAGAGTTTGATGATGATGAATCAGTTTGTCCCACTCTTTGCGAAGAACCCCCTACTGGTATCTGATCCCTAATAGGACATTTTGCCATTCACGTTTAAGATTTTTTTGTGGGTACATTTGATGTGCATCCCATTTTTAAAATACTTGTCATCCATCCCAGGTTCAAAAGATTCCAAAGGTTTTGATGACAGTCATCGCGCCAATGGAACCAAGCCAGTCCTAGCCTCAAAATTGAAAAATTATCTTACCCCTTGCTTCCATGAATCCTCCCACTCTCTTGCCAGGCTTCCATGGTGGAGTTCAAGCTTAATTGGGGACAGCACCTTCGGGATCTCATTGCCCATGCGGGGCCTGCATGCACAGTTGTGGACAAGTTTGGGGAAAATCATCAGGTGAACAATGGCAAGCTTGTGGCCATTCCTACTCCTGATAGATTTCCTTTGACAGTTTCAGTTGAGCGTGCAGTTTTGCAAGCATCAGGGGGTTCAGAAAAACTTCCCCTTTCTGATGTGACTTCGGATGTACCTTCACCTACTTCGGTTGCCACCATCAACACGCCGAGTCCCAAAGGCCAGCCAATCAATTCATTTCACCGAATTTCTAAAATACTATGGACTGATGCAGGCTCTATGAAATTTCTAGTTCACCCATATCTCTGTTGCAGGTTTGACACCAGCCTTGGTCACTCCCCCGAAAGTATCCCGCGAGGCCTGCAATCTTTTAAAAAGACAACAGATTCATGTGTTTCTCAATCCAAGCCCCATTCCCTGGTCCAATTTTCGGCCTTGGCCAGGTTGAATCAAAGAGCGCTGCTTCGCAGGAAGCCTTGAAGGAGATGGAGCGTTTGCAGAAACAATTAGCTCTTGTGAAAGAAATGAACCAGCTTCAACGTGATTTGCAGCATCTCATTGACATGAAAGCTCGTGAAGATGAAAAGAATATCAAAGTCAATGTGGAGCCCTACACTGTATGCCATCCACCTGCTGTCAGTGTCATGTCTTAAGAAAACATATGTCTCAATTACTACGTATCATTTTTTGCCTTTTGCCGACTCGTTGTTCGGACCGGAAAACCCAAATCCAAATCTCCCAGGTGTGGACAACATGGGTACTTTGCCAATGGAGACCGACCACTTTCATACCCCAGGCAGGTTTGAAAGCTTACAAACTGGGGTCAAAGTTGGAAAGCTTACAAACTGCTAGCTATACTCTTTCTATCTCAACCTTTGCTTGCGCAGGTTCGCCAAATGCTGTTCCAGCTGCTGCGACTGGTGAGGACTCGGGTGCATCAATTGGGGCTTCGATTCGCAAGATTGCACCTATGTGTACTGCTTCTTCTTTCCAGGGAGGCCCTGCCAACAATGCATCAGATAACATTCCAGAGCCACCGGTCCCAGAGCCAAAAGAAATTCAAGTAGCAGTAGGTGAGGTAGATGAAGAACCCGAGACACCATTCCCAGTAGCGCAAATGAATCCAGAGGTTCGAGAGGCACCACCCGTTGAGGGACAAACCACAGCAATGCTTTTGGAATCACATGATGAACTGGAGCCACCACTTGACAATCAGTGCAACAAAGGAGAAGCCACAAAAAGCTCAGGAGACGCCAGTGACCCACCAAGTGTTCGTATGTATAAGTACCTCCAGGCAGTGAAGGCAAACAAAAAGAAGGCAGAAGGAACTGAGGAGACATGCAATGGAACAGAGGAGTCATGCAAAGCAACAGTCATTGCTAGTTTGCCACCCAAGCCAACTGACTGGGGAAAGCATACACCTGTGACGGCTGACCAGCAGCAACCACCAAAGCCCCGTGGCAGAAAAAAGAAGTCTGAGAAGGACACCAGCGATGCCCAGGCAGCAGCACCGAAAGCAAAGGCAAAGAGAGGTGCAAAGAAAAGAGCAAAGACACCGGAAACCTATGAGCCACTTGAGGTTGAAGGCAACATCAACATCAACAAAGGAGATGCCTTTGATGCCTATGCTGTAGCATCTGCAGCTGCAGATGTGCATACCTTGGGGACCACCGACACAAAGGCTACCGAGCCCAGCAATGCAAGCAAGAAGCCACGCCGCAGCAAGCAGGATAAGGAGCCAAACAAAGCTGCAAGCCGAACCCGTTCAAAGAGAAAGGCCGAAGGAGATGATGAGCCCAACCCGAAAACTGAAGGATCTAGCCGAACCCGTTCAAAGAGAAAGGCCGAAGGAGATGATGAGCCCAACCCGAAAACTGAAGGATCTAACCAAACAAAGAAGGCAAAGAAGAACAAAGGCAATGAAGCACCAATTGATGAGAACAAGGAAGGAAAGGAATCGAAGAAGGATGAGCCCATGACAAGCAAAACCAACACAGCTAGGAAGGAACGTTCAGCAGAGACCAAGGCGAGGTACTCACGCAAGAGCTGCGCCTACAAGAAGGTGCTCACTGAGAAAACCAAGGCAGGCTATTCAGAGGATGACGCAAAGAAAGCAGCCCGAGAGGTTTCTAAACCCGGTCTTAACAAATTGTAAGCACATTTTCATTTGTTTCAACTAATTGTTGAATGCTGTTGTTTTTTTGGTGGTACCCTTTGTTTACCCTTTTTGCCATTTGTGGACCCTAAAACATTTCAAAAAAATGACATGCACCTTCAAAAAATGAACCTTAAGGACTTTCAACCCCCCTTGGGTGTTTATAGTAAATACTATGAAAAACATATGCAGCTTACTACACCTGGTGGGTACGGAGTTAGTTGCCTGAGGCTTATGCTGCGTGTGACTGAGATGGCCCTGTCTTGCATCTGTGGCAGCCTGGCAGTGCGGGTGTGCTGGAAACATTCAAAGCCGAGTGTTTTTCCCGCTAGCTGGTGGCAAGTGATAATTCAAAGTCTATATACTTATTATCGAGATACATTGAGTATATGATCAATGACAACATGTCATATTCTTGTTTTTCAACCTGCGGAGCCCAGTGATTTCTGTTTGGGGTCAGCCAGTGCGTTTATGAACGCATGTGCGTTTCTTGGCAGATCAGAGCTGCCATGTTTTCGATTGACAATTCAAAATTGCCATCTTACAAAGCTTTCTTCTTTGGGGTAAGCCTGAGAGTCATAGAGTCAATTGTGCAATCACGATTGCAACTGTGATTGGGGCAAATCAAGTCTTCAGCTGGAACAACGGATCGAGGAAAAAAACACTGCATGACTGCATGAGTGGCTTTAACATGTGGCCGATATTTCACTTGTTTTACTTGTTTGAGCTGTTTGACTTTCCCTCGAGCTGGCGATTCTCCACTTAGGTTGGTTCACCGAAAAAGGCCCCCACAAGTCTCAAGAATACACCGTTTTCCCCACATTTTACCAACATTTTTATGACTTGTGGGGGCCTTTTTTGGGGTGCCAACCCAAGTGCAGCCCCCAGGGGTCACCTCAATTTGAGCTTACGAATCCTCTGCATGGGCAGGTTCCATGGAGAGATGGATGTCGAGATCAGCATCTACTGGTCATCCCTGCTCTCATTACCATCTACACATGTGGATGCAGCCCAAACTTGAAGTTATGCCTGCACATAGCTTGCAAATACTTTTACGTTTGGGGACACGGAATTTAGACATAGTTTTTCTGGATAAATTCTATACATCCATGGAAAGTATGGTGGCCCTGCAGCAACGGAGGGCTCATTCACAACCATACCCGGACCAAGTTCAGTACCATTCTATTAGTCATGCCTCGTCATGGTGGCATTCAATCTCTGGTGGCCAACTTAGCCCAGACCAAATGCCCGAAGGCTGGGAAAATGGTATACCAAACCAAACGAAAATTGCTAGCACTTGCATGTGATATGATAAAAAAGACCAGCTAATATAGTTTATCCTTGTTCTCGGGAGGCCTTCATTGCAGTGGTCTTGCTTTGCATTTGGAGCGCGGACGTCCACCCCCAGTATCACCTGGTGGAATTGTTCAGTGGAGCTGGGAAGGTTGGGGAAGTTTGGAGGCCGATACTGAAGAATTTCATCGTGATTTTTGCATGCACATTTCTCTGCATGTGTTGTATATACTCAATATCTGTGCACGTCATGTCAGGGAGAACGGGCTCAATGTGGGCCAATACGACTGGGATAGCAAGGATGAATCAAAACATAATCTGAAAACACGATGTTTACATTGCCCAGGACTGCCATCGTCATGGTGGCTTCTCTGATTCCCTTCGGCCTCTTGGTTTTTGGCCCAGACTGCAGCAGCTGGACTGTCATTTCACGGGGCTCCTCATGGCGGTCAGTTGTCAATCCTCGTGGTAGAGAGGGTCTTGCTTGGGTCCAGGGAGCAGACTTGATGATATCCAGGTGATTGGGTTGCAAACTAAATGATATATACATCTATATCTTTGCACCTGCTGCATGCAATCGTAATATTTCATGCGTTAGTGCATGATTCGAGGTTATTTACCCTTCAAAAAGCAATATGTACTGCCAGGTGCTGCCTTCTACTTCGTCTGTGCCTAGCTCTTTGTTGCTTCTACGTCATGGAGCAGCCTCGGGGAAGTGAAAAAGTTCTTCCCCGTCATCGGAGGATGGAGGAATTTGCAAATCTGATTTCTTTTGTATCCTGATCTCAATGATAACTTTTGAGAACATGGAACCCACAGTCAGTTTAGACAAACACGAATCAAGCTCTTTTGGCTGAATCAATCTCGGTTTGGATGGCCCAGGTATTTAAAGGCTTCTTTTGGATGATGCATCATGGAGGTAAAACTCCAAAGCCAACGGTTTGCTGGAGCAATTCTGAAGAGATCTTGCAGGCATTGAACTTGGCCTCAGTAAGATCTTCGGGTCATTATCCTGGTCAACCACCAAGATTAAATTTAAATCATGTGGGAAATCTAAAGTGTGCTCATACCTGGCAATGCAAGGAAATATAAGAATTTTTAACCGAAACATCCCTCTGTTTGTGATTTTCCTGTTGGCTTTGCAATTGCCTAAAAACACCCAACGTCCCGCATCATGAGGACCGTGGAGTTCTTCCCCGTGCAGTCCAGAGAAGTAGCGAAGTGGCCACAACCCGCAGCAGCCTGAGTTGACAAGATTTCATTTTGATGACACCTTTTAAAGTATGCAAATATTTGGAAGCATTTGCAAACTCTATGGTTGTGCATACTATTGAGATCAACCTTGAATGCCTTGCATGGTTCATTTTGCATAACAAATTGAATGTCAAGGTAAGTACAAGTGCAAGAAAGATGGCAAAGTCAAGTTCCAGGGCACTGATGCCTTGCGATCTACACAGTCCAGGTCCCAATGACAATGATTTGATCATTTTGTTGGTATTTTTCAAAATGGGTGGTGCTCGACTTACTCAGCCAATGCCTACTTTAGCTTTTCCCACTGACTATTTTTTTTCTGGAAGGGGACCCATTGAGTAAGCTGAAAGTTTCAAGGTACTTTTGAGCATATTTCAGCATTTCCCATTTTGAGATATCTATACACCCTTAAACCCGGGATGGCGCACCTGAGGCAATATCCTCGAGGTCTCGGAGAATGTCTTCTGACAGCCTGGCAGTCAGTGAAGGGGAGGCCAATGCTAGACTTCAGGCAGAAAGAGACCATTAACCCCAGGAAGACTGATTTGGAAATCTTCCAGGACCTACCTTTACGCGACCCTCTGACGGATGCAAAGATCCCAAGTATGTTCATATACCTCTATTCCAACAAGAACCTTGTCATTCCCACCGAATGGCAGCCTGCCATGGAAGCTATGCGCTCTGATATGGAACAGTATGTGGCTAGACTTCAATTATAATTGTGATGCAAGCTTTTGGGTTTTATTGCGGTGTTGTAATTAGGGCTTTCAAAGCAAGTTTTCCACCTGTCTACCCAGGTGCTCACAGAGAAGGACCTTGGGCCCTTGGTGTGATTCAATTCAAATGTATGCAATTCAAATGTGTTTTGCAAATAGCTGACAGCTGCTATTGAGAGGCACACTGGCTCCCGAGTGATGATACTTGATGGATTTTGATTGTTTTCAAACATTTTTCATCAATTTTCATCAAAAGATCGCGTCTACAAAATCCTTCAAAACGCCTACAAAAACCTTCAAACGCCTACAAATCCCAAAAAGTAGGTCAAATGGGTTTTTCAAGAATTTGGAAAAACGTGAGCTTTTCAGTGTGGCCTCCTCAAAAATTAAGTCTAGAACAGGCATGACAACAATGCCTAGCTGCCCGTGTGTCACCGACTTTCCCACGGGACCGAAATTTGATGGATTCAGAACAAATGCAACTCTATAGTTTTGCTCATGCAGTAATGGAGCAATCTAGAGCCCATGGAGGATATTCACTTCAACCATGCAAATGAAAATTTTGAATAATTCTGACTAACCATCCTCAGATTTTGCTCAAATAGTTGCTGCTCAGGTGTTGCCTGCACATGTCAGGCGAACCAAAAGTCAGGACTTGTACATCTTTCGAATCAGGTCTTGGCACCTTAGCCATGCAGTCGGCGGCCAATCCACCACCGGGTAATTTGGATGGCATGATTGCTGCAACAAGGTTGCATTTTGGATTCCAAATTGGTTTTAAAGAACTGATCTCCATGCAAGTTGGTTTCATGTTGGGGTTGTTAAATGAACTGATTCGATCTGTAAAGTCATTGGCAACATTGCCCCATTTGCCGAGGAGATGACAGCGCGACTCCAAGTTCTCCAAGGTCAACTTGGGCATCTGACGGGTGTGGATGAGCGTCCCCAACCAGCAGGTAGGACATGGTAGAATACCAGTGTGCATGATCATGCTAACAATTTTCTTTCTGTTTGCGTGTTTTTACCGTTTAGGGAGTGGCAAATGACAAGATAATGCAACTGATTTCAACATATAATATTCAGTCATGTTCTCCCTTGAGGTGCTGGGTTTGTGGTGCCCCGTGCTGCTGGAGCGTTCATGCCTGGGTTTGCGAGCGCTGGTGATGTAGAACTGACCCCAAAGCAGGTTGACTTAGCATCCCCAAACTCAACAGCAGCAATTGCAGGCAGCCCGCCATGCACACCAGTTTCCCAAATCATCCGCAGGAACACCACTGCAAGTCTAGAAGTAGCAAGCAATGCAACACATGACAAAGCAGAGACACCAACCACCATACCATACTTGCGAGCACCAACCCTGACACTTGGTGACCCCGTTCCCGATGACTATGAAGAAGAAACCTTGCTGGACCCTGCACCTACCCCGCCTGAATCTATTCAGTCAACTCCTGTGTCAGGATACTATCCAGACAATCAGCTTGGTTTACTTTCGCAAAGCCCTGCAATGCAGCCTGAGACCCCGTTCTCCCCAGAGGCACCAACGACCAAGAAAGATACACCGCAGCTTCATGAAACTGTAGTTTCAAACGAAGATGGGCCAAAGGCAGCAAGCAGCAGCAACGGTGACAAAGCCCACGCCACTTCTGAAACGGGCACTCCAGCCGAGTCCCCATCAGAAACAAGCACCCCAATGGCCTCTCAAGCAAAATGTCCTGATGGTGAGACACTTATGAAACCACCCAAGCAGAACAAGTATGCTGATGGCACGTACTGGAGGCTGCTAGAAAGCACTTTGGAATTTTGTATGGTTTTTAGCATATATGACTTCCACATCACTTTGCGCACGTATATTCCTTAGCCTTAAAGGGTGTCAGCTTAGGATTCGCAACTATGTGAAACCAAATGCAAAGGGTGAGGTGAAGGCCAGTGAGAATGTGATCGCTTTGTTCAAAACTGACAAAGGGAGAACCTTGGCATAGTCAAGTGTCTATTTGAGCCTTCAAAACCTTTGATTCCTCGATAATCATATAATATCTCATATTTCTTCAAGGGGCCCAATTCCGATACCAGCGCCATGTCTTTAAGGAGAGGAGTTGCGGCAGCTTCTGCTTTCCCACGGGTCTTTCGAAGCGATTGAGACTCATTTGACCAACACACACACAAAGGAGAAGTCTGAGACTTTGAGGGGAGGGTGGCATACTGAAGCGTCTCTTCAAAAAGAAGGTTGGACCAAGTGCCCAAGTTGCACATAATCAACACCAATCTGGATTCTTGATGTTCGATCTTACCTGATCTTACCACTCTTACATGAACATATGAACACGTTCATCATACCATCCTTTAACATATATATATATATAATATAATATATCATCAACATCACCACCATCATCAGCATCAGCATCACCATACCACCCTTTGAATATGAATACCGTGCAACTGAGGGAAATGATCGACCACTCCAAGAAGTGGGCGCAAAACCGTGAAAAAACGAGGTTCACGGCGAAGATGAGTGGCGGATTCCTATTGCGCGGGAGTTCAAGGCCAAGGAACTGGACCGTCAAACTGCTTCTCAACAAGTCAGTTTCAGAGCCAAGGACCCCCACTGCATATGATGTTGGAGTTAGCTTCTGTCATGGAAACACATCTTTTGAACTCCTCAGATTTATCTTTGAATTCCTCCATTTGAAGGACGAGGCAGGTGACTTCATGAAGAAGGTAGTTGATCAAAAAGAATTGACGTATCTTGAATGGATAAACACTTAAACAAGTTTACATGTAATGACCCGGCCATTTAACTTTCCAAACTATTTCCTTGCGCTAAGGCAAGGGAGCGGAGTTTCCAGCATGGTGCAAATCCATGCATCCCAGTCAGCTGCCAACAACAAACTTCAAACACTGCCGGTTTTGCAGACCAACCAGTGTCCCTTCAGTAGGAAGCTCAATCGTTTCACATCTGCCATCATCAAGTAACAACATGCCTGATTGAATTTTAGCCATCACACCGATTGAGGTCTGCTACCGAGCTTTATTGAAGGGGTTGCCAAAAAGATTTCAAAAGCTGAAGAGGTTCAGGACTCCAACAGAGTGTCAAAATTAGCTGGCATAGACTTTTCAATGGATCCTGTTTGCAGGAATCCCTGCAGCAAATGCAGATGGAACGGGCAACCACGTCAGAGCCCTGGTTGGAATTCTAAAGTCACCCCTGGATGACACTAACATAAGAATGGAAAACCAAGTTTATCCACAGCTCTGCCTGAAAACTGAATATAGTGTACGTTACATATTACATCTAACTCACCAAGTGTCTATAAGCTTTATAAAGGAAACCCAATAAGCAAGACTTCCCTGTTGCACTGAGGTTGGCCAATGAGATCAGGGAGAAAATCAAAGACTTGGACGCAAAGTACCAGGAGCTTGTTCTGAACCAGCAAAACTTGATGGCCACCGATACCCCCAGTAGGCCTGGTTCATTGACACATCAACCGTCAGAGCCGAAGATGCCGCTGCAGTATCATCCTGTTGCAGTGCAAAGCGCAGTTGAGTGCATTGTATGTGTGTGTGTGATGAGCATCTGTTGCAGGGATATGAAGGATCAACTGGCCAAGCTGTATGTGCAATGTACTCAGCAAGATGTTCTGGTGAACAATTTGCTGAATCGGGCCAGGACCGTTTCTGATTTGCTATTGCTAGTTGCCAGTTGATTTGCATCCCACGTAGTAAATGGGTTTATAATACCAGTATCCGTTTTAAATGCCATATGGTTTGTTTATATGTGTTATATGGGAATGTCTCAAATTAGGAATGCCCCAAGCTCACTTTTTTTAGTAAAAAAAGAAAGGCTTGGGGCATTCAGTTATGGCACCCCTATTCTGAGACATTACCATATTGGATGATGGATGAAAACATAGAGTTGGCTCCTTGTCCCAACCTTGTCCTAACTCCCCAATATCCCAACTGATTGATAGCTTCCTACAGGACTGTGAAGCCACCAAAAGCGAAAGCCAAAGCAAAAGCGTCGGCGTCAACCAAAGTGCCTTTGAGTAAGCGTAAGGCAACCAGCAAAGTGAAAAAGGAAACTGAAGAAGATGAAACGGAACAGAATGGTGAAGAGACTGAAGAGGATGAGGAGCCAGAAGCCCCGAAAAAGAAATCCAAACGTAAGGCTTCCAGTGCGGCAGCAACTGGGAAGGCAGCTTCTTCCAAAAGGAAGCGCAAAACAAAGTAAATACAACAGCTCACTGAAAGCAAAGGGTGTGACTAACAACCATATGCATAGCTATCTTAAGTATGTTTAAAATATTTGTTTCGCAGAAGCCCTTCAAGCGTGAGCTCTTTTGCCGGTACTGGTCACTTGCGTGGCCCTAGACCCCGGAAACATCGCCTGGGGGGGATGACATAGATCGCCAGGAGTTTGGCCTTAGACGAGATTAAAAAGGTTTCCTTTGGGTGATGCAGCTGCTAGTGCCAACATGTACCCCAGTACCCCAAGTATGGAGAAGAAAATAAGACTTTCAGTGCCAGGTTCCCTACGACATCTTTGCCATGCAGGGGCCGTGAGTGTGTACCTCAGATTAAAATTTTCAAACTTACAAAGATCGACAGAGATCTTAGTTGAACAATCACATATTTTCGCTCAGGTTCGAGGTGTGCTGGTCCTAGAGACTGCAGTGACGATGAGACCGAGTCATCTGCTGACTCAGATATTGCTGAGGAGTTGTTCCAAGACTACTTTTCAGGGGTTCCTTGATTATCCATTAAAGATTATAAAGATTTTGATGGCAACCAAAAATGCTTGTAGATCAGTACATACATATATATATATATACATATCACATCGACTTTTCCGATATGTCCCATGCATGTTGCAAACTGTGAGGCTGAATCAGCGAAAAGGGCAAGCAGGCTTGCCGCCATGATTTGCAAGGTTCGAAAAAAAGGACGCTCGGTAAACATAAGTTTAACATTTTGAAACCCATTGCCCACAAGACTTGGGAAGATCCTATATTCCTTCTGGTTATGGTGACATCTCGGGGCCAAAACCATCTTTGTAAGGAAACAAAACAGACTTGTTGTGGAAGATCTCTCGTGCTGGACAAAGCCCTGTCAATGCTTGTCGAAACTTGCACCGGTTGATCAACAGGAACAACATCTTGTACCCAGTGGAAATTGGATGTGGGTTGATTCGAGTCGCTTTCAGGAAACCTCAATATAGGACCTGCCAAATCTACTGGCCCTTCCTCCGCATGGCTTCTTGGGTCAGGGCATTGCTGGATCAGTCTCCAGGCATGCTGCTTGCAGGCCACTGCCTGCGCGATGTGACGAAGTGGCAGGCTGTCTTTTCACGTTTTTGGGATCTCTACAGACATGTGAACCCCAACCATTGCATATATGCTGATGGTCTGGACGCCCGCAACTGCATTCCATACTTCATGCATGGTGATGAAGGCCGTGGCTATTGTCGTCGCCCGTTTATGGTTGAATCTTTTCAGCCTGTCATCTCCCAGAAAGGATTGGAGTATACAAATGAGAGCGGGAAACTTGATCTTCATTGTGCAACTTTCTTCATTGATTTCTTTGGGGTGATTCGAAATTAAAACCTTAGGCTACCACCTCTCAAAATAAAACCATGATTTTGTCAACATCAGGCACAGTATGACAACACGATTTGTGCTGACCTGCATCTCCTCCTATTTTTTCGACGAGGGGAACACCTTGGATGACTTGCATCAATTCATAGCTGAGGATGCCAAAAAGCTGTACTATGAAGGAATCACAGCCCCTTCAATGCAGGATAGACCATTTTCCAACATATAATATTTATATCTACCAAAAGCTGCTATATGATTATGATATACGATTTTGACGATATAGACGATATAGATCATTAAGATTGGATTGGAATGCATGTAAAGATCTTCTGATCAATCTGGAATGGGTTATCCTGGGTTATCCTGGGTTGCGTTTGGGGTATCTCAGGTTGGAGCGACTACACTGCGATTGGTCTGCGTTGGAGGTAAAGGAGATTGGCCATATTTGCGTAAAGACACCTGGCACATGAGAATGTATATGTGCATGTATCCAAACGACAAATATCCACATATAATCCGGTTTTGGGGGCTTGAAGTTCATTACAACAAATTGTGTCTATGATTGTTGGGTTGGGGGTATACTTTGACATATCCACCGATGGAATTTCTCCAGATCACTTGTCCAAGCTCAGGCATATCATCTCAACTGTGGTTTCAACTGCAAAGAGAAGTGTCACCTTTGTGATGCTACCAATTGGGAAGACATGTCAATGCAAGCCAGTTGGAGAGGCACGATTGGACCAAACAGGACCCACAGCCCTTTCTGGGATGAGCCTGAAGGCATCCATTTGCTGCAAGTACCTGGCATGGGGCAACAACTCATATTGCCCGATTCATGCCATGTGTTTCACCTTGGATGGGGCCTAGACCTGGCAGCCAGTGGCATATGCCTTTTGGCGAGGCTTCAGTGTTTTCCAGGTCGAAAGTTTGATACCCGGCTTCAAAATGCATACATCTCTTTTACACAATGGATCAGTGACAACAAAAAGACGACTGGAATTTCTTGGTGGTCGACAAGAAAACTTGACATGAAAGAGCACCTTTGTTTCTATTAGTCATTTTTTAAGCTGATGATCATGTTTTCATTTTGGGTCCAAAATGGTGATATGGTGATCATTTTTTTTGTTTTAGGTTCACCTCTCCACCTGCCCGCTGCAACCCAGTCAAAACGATTGGCCGACCTCGCTGGGATCTTGCAACAGCAAGGCTTACGACACGGCCTTGGTGCTCGAGTGGATGGAGCATTTCTTGGAAGGGTATGATTCTTGGAGAGGTTTGTTGGGGCTAGTGAATAAGCGATATACAATGCATACATGATCGAATTATATTAGTTTTTGGTTGGGGCATCTGTATATTTGATCCATGTGATCACCTTTAACAAATCTGTTTTTCATCGACCCAAGGATTGTAGCAATGATGAACTTCTACAAGGGCTCAAGTACGCTGTAGCTACAAGCAACCTTTTCTTCAGGACTATGAGATCATGTGGTGTCTTCATCATGAAACCCATGAAAGATATATTGTACCACGCTGGTCAGGAGATGTGTGCGTCTTGGACATACTTCAAACTTCGTTTCAAAAGTATATGATGTTCCCCAAATGAATGCCCATGGGTGTAAGCCATTTGATACAGATTTCAGAACTGTTGGGTATATATCTCAAAGAAAATCCAATAGTCCAGATTTTTTTTATCGACCCCAAGTGACCTTTTTTTTCTGATCGATATCTCGTGTATCCCCACAACTCTAAACTAGGAAGCCTACGGCTACATGGCCTCGAAGTGTTACACAAAAGGATGGAGATTATTCCGCCTGCGTCCAAAAATACATTTCCAGCAACATTTAACAATGCGCATGGGTCCAGAATCATCTCCAGTGGCATTCTCAGCACTGAGTGGCTTGGGCTAGCTTCAAACCTTTTGGGGTCTTTTTGTGATATTGCAAGAAACCTTTTGGGATCTTTTTGGGGTTGAAACACCATTACTGTTGTCAAGGAAGTCCTGAAATCAAATGTTTCTTTTGGTCACTGATGCAAACAACTAAGATTTCAGTTGCTGAGCCGATGAGGATTTTATTGGAAAGATAAGCAGACTGAGCCGTTCTGTGCATCCACTCCTTTCATCCTATCGTTGCCTACAGAAGGCCCTTGGACTTTATAAAAACTTATTTGCCCGACTCCAGGCCAAGGAATGATGGTCAAACCATCTTGGGTTTCCAGGCCAGTCGTTGGTGCAAGTGCCGCCAAGTGATGACCAGCGAAGCCAGCAGAGAAGGGCAAGGGAGTGGAAATTGGGGAGAATGATACACCGGGTGCAAACAGAGGAATAGATCCCGACTAGTTATCATATGAAACGATCAAAACATCCACTTTCTGAGATAACGATCAGAAAATGTATGTCACTTGGGGTCGATCAAAAATTTCTGGACTTTGGAATCCCTAGGTAGGATAATGTAGGAGAGGCTGCGTAGGCAGTCTCGCGTAGGCACATGTTTGGATGTTCTAGATTGTTTGTTTCTGACCTCGAACTCTTGTTTTTCTTGGTGGCTTACAATGATTTTAAATGCAAACTGGATTGTATGGTTCATATGTTTAGCTGGAAGAAAGGGGAGATTAAAGAAACAAGCGCTTTTTCAGAAAATTACAAGTGCCAAGTTTTCGAACAGCCATTTTCGGTTCGGATTTTCGCGTAGGCTCCGCGTAGGCCCTCGCGTAGGAAACGCGGAGGCCCTAGGTCAAATTGTGGCCCGTAGCCGCAGCCCATCAAAGTCTTACCGTTTCACTTTTCTAATGTTTCCATGAGTTCATCATGACTGCCGATCACATCATGACACAGTGCTCCACTCTTGATGAGGCTTCCGCCTTCCTTTCACAAGTCACCCAAAGAATCGTCATCTTCCAATTCTTTCTATTCCTCTTCTGAACCAGAATTGTGATCACATCACGTCAAGTAAAGAGATCGTTGCAGCAACTTTCGCGGAGGCAACCGCGTAGGCACTTCTTGAAAGGTAACCCTCGCGTAGGCAGTTTTGCTTGGGAGGAGTGGTTTGCGTAGGCCCCGCGTAGGTGTCCTAATTTGTGTATTGCAGTTTAGCAAGGAAAAAAAACACAACTCATTTATAGATGGGCTTTTCATGGATTTTCCATGATTTTCCATTATAAACCATCCATTTAATAGGGTACCCCCATATAGATCATGGACTTCCGTCATTTTGATGGGCCCATGGTGAAAGCTCTTGCCAGGCGGTGCCGATCGATGGCAAATAACCAGCTCTGAGGACTTGAAGATCGCGGTGCAGGCCTTGTGCGCGGCCGAGGAGACGGAGGAACCCAGGGAGTACTTTGCTACGAGATGGGGGGAGATGGCTAGGGATGATGCCCGAAGTTTGGAGGATCCATTTGATATCATTAATATCCACAGAGTATATTTGGTTAAAGTGTTTTTGTTTGTGCTGAGGCTGATGGCTTTTGGATGCTTTTGGAATATGACCCATGTACTATGTTGCCAACTTTTGGATTCCTGATAGGATCCATACGTCCCGCGTAAGGCCGTGTTTTTATGCTGGCTTAAAGTGGGACAGAGGGACTTGGGAGACAAACCATTGACTTTGATGTGTTTGGCTAACAGGGCATTTCCAGAACTCAGAATCCGTTCTGCCAACATGTCCGATGTAGTTTGTTCATCCTGGCCCTTCTAGCCTTGGAACACTGAAGCCCAGGAAATTTCTGGGTTCCATCAGGGGACTTTACGGCAATCATCTTTTCGAGCTCCGGCGGCGATGGGACGTGCAGGGGCACCGCTCCAACATGGCCAGCTGTTCTCTGGGCAATGTGAGGCTAGAGACCCGAGAGGGGATCATTGACGTTCGGCTCTTGTGCGAGATGCGTCGTTTCCAGTCCCTGCCGGGGGAAGCTGAATCGCGTGGCGTGGCTTTTTACATGTTCCCCTTGTGCGAGGCGGTGGGCTGCCTGTGGGATGGCACTGAGCAGATGCCGAAACTCTTCTGTCAGAGTGCCTCGCCGGGCATTGAGATGCGAAGTTGGGACCTGTATCGATTTGATGGCAAGCCCGGAGCGAGCACGCGCGGTGCAGTGAGCTTCGCAGTGGATGAAGATGACCTTAGGGCTGAGTTGAGGATGGAGCCAAGTGTGCCTGAGGGAACCCATCCGGATGTAGCGGATGGGGATGAGGTGATCTTGGAAGATGATGCGACGCTCTGGAATGAGACTCCCAGTGTCAAAGTTGGAATCCACAATTTGTCCTGCGTTTTGAATGCGTGCATCTCAAAGTGGAGAGGTCAACAACATTCAACAACATTTTTATACGTTTTTTTTGCCCTTTGAGTCGAGAACTTTCAGCTGTTTTTTGCCAAGATACACCAGTGTTTTTCATTCAGCAAAACATGGCCTCCTTACCATCTATAGACTCAAAAGAAACTACCTCAAGACAAAGTGTCTCGGAGTGAAAACTCGACAAAAACTGACCGACAAAAACTGACGGGCACCCCCCAAGGTGTGTCAGTGGAGTCTGGTCTCAACCTTTGTGTATTTCTTTTGCCGGTATTTTGACCACTGGTTGGCAATTTGGCAGCTGTCCTGTTTCGCTTTCAACGATCACCTGACTTACGGGTTTTTGGAGCTGGCCAAAAAGCATCAAAAGCCATCCAACCACATCCAACCACTGATGTTCTTGTGGGTCATCAGATGTCATCCAGCAAGGAGTTCCTCAGATGGACCCCACTGTAGTCACTACAGATCCGTCTTGGAGAGCACTGCGAAGGCCTTTCAGCGCTTCGATGCCGGAGAAGCGGTGAACTTTTTCTTCGTCCTCCATGGACCCAGGCAGTTGGTGCTGTCGCCCCGGGACGACGCCGAAGACCCTGAGGAGGAGCCGGTGACCGATGATGAAGCGGAGCGTTGAGCGATGGCCGGCGATGGCTGGGGAGTTGCCCAAACTTAACGAAGTGCCACAAAACCATCATTTCCCAGGTCCTGATATGGATTCATATGAATTCATTCGCATGTCTTTTGCGATTTCGATGTGTGGTGAAGCACGGTGTACTGTGAAAAGTGTCGATGCCGGTCCTTTACCCAACACATGCTGTGTGGAGAAGCCCGGTTTCAGCATGGAGGCGAACTTCTGAGAGCTTCCAACACTATGAGTGGGAAGCACAGGCCGATCCGTGTCAGAACGATCTTCCAAGATGGCTATGGATCAATACCTATTAATACCATTTTTAGGGGGATGAACATCCATAAATCCCAGCTATTTTGATGTGAACTACAGGAGGATAGGGTTTTGACCCATCCCCAGATCTTCCAAGAATTGAGCAAATTGAGCAAATCTGCAGAATAACTTTTGAATCTTTTGATCTGCGCTCGAATGGCGATGCTCAACTCTGATGACTCAACGGCAGGTGGGTTCCAAGCGCAGTATATGTACCATGATGGCCTTGAGTCCTGTGGGACCATGAGACTTTGCTGACAGTTGCGAGTTCAAAAATGGAGGGTCTTTGGGTCTTTCTCCTTTCTTTGCCACAGATCAGTGGTCCTTTTGGAGCAAGGTGGAGCATGAATCTATTCTTGATTCAAGAGGTTTCAAATGGGAGCCGTCCAAAAACCCCAGAAAGGTTTTTAGTAAAGGACCTATTCTCGCATTTTTCCCATGGTCTAAAACCTGCATCGCGCAAGTTTCGCGCAAGGGCGGCCCAAGGTACGCGCAAGTACTATTGTTATCATTATTACAAGTACTATTTTAATTAACATTTTGATTACTACTACTACTACGACGACGACGACTACTACTACTACTACCACTACTACTACTACTACCACTACTACTACTACTACATTACCACTACTATTACTATTACTACTACAACTACTACTACTACTACTTCTACTACTACTACTACTACCACGACGACTACTACTACTACTACTTCTGCTACCACTGCTACCACTACTACCACTACTACCACTACTACCACTACTACCGCTACTACTACCACTACTACTACTACTGCTACTACTACTACTACTACCACCACTAGCTACCACTACTACTACAATTACTACTACTACTACTACCACCACCACTACTACTACTACTACCACCACCACCACCACCGAGGGGACTACTAACTGACACTTACTGCACTACTACTGTACTACCTGACTTGACGAATTCGTGTTACCACACTACTACCACTACTACCACTACTACCACTACTACCACTACTACCACTACTACCGCTACTACTACCACTACTACTACTACTGCTACTACTACTACTACCACCACTAGCTACCACTACTACTACAATTACTACTACTACTACTACTACCACCACTACTACTACTACTACTACTACTACTACTACTACTACTACTACCGTATCTGATTTAGATCTTAAATATTAATATCTCGAGTTGATAAACATAGATAACCAAGGTGGTAAATAGGCCATCCAAAGAAAAAGGAGCAGATAGATAGATAGATAGATAAATAGATAGATAGATAGATAGATAGAGATAAAGCAGCCAACGCGGTCCGGAAGACATGCAGCAGCAGTCCGGAGATGGTGAGCAGGAAGGTGTTTCAGAGTGGTTTCAGACCTCTTTTGGGCTTGTTTTTTGGGTACCCCCAGCTTTGGGAGATGAAAAAAGAAAGAGAAAAGGTAGAGAAAGAGAGAGAGAGAGAGAGAGACAGAGAGAGGAAGAGGGAAAGAGAGAGAGAGAGAGATAGAGAGAGAGAGAGAGAGGAAGATGGAAGATGGAAGATGGAAGATGGAGACAAACAGAAGGCGAGAGAGAGAGAGAGAGACAGAGAGAGGAAGAGGGAGAGGAGAGAGAGAGCAGCGGGTGTTTCAGAGTGGTTTCAGACCTCTTTTTGTCCGTAGGCTACCTCAGCTTTGGAGAAAAAACAGGAAAAAACGGGAAAAGAAAGAAGAGAAGGGAGAAAGAGAGGAGAGACCAAGCAAGCACCCAAAACGTACTCTAATTGTAGCCATTGTGGTCCGGAAAGACCTGCAGCGGTCCGGAAAAGCAAGCACCCAAAACGTACTCTAATTGTAGATATTGCGGTCCGGAAAGACGTGCAGCGGTCCGGAAAAGCAAGCACCCAAAACGTACTCTGAAACCACCCGCTGCTCACCATTTACAACGCTCTCTCTCTCCTCTCCCTCTTCCTCTCTCTGTCTCTCTGTCTCTCTCTCTCTCTCTCTCGCCTTCTGTTTGTCTCCATCTCTGTCTCGTGCTATCCTCTTTTCCCGACCGCTGCATGTCTTTCCGGACCGTAATGTCTTAGGTGCTTGCTTTTCCGGACCGCTGCACGTCTTTCCGGACCGCCATATCTACAATTAGAGTACGTTTTGGGTGCTTGCTTTTCCGGACCGCTACAGGTCTTTCCGGACCACAATGGCTACAATTAGAGTACGTTTTGGGTGCTTGCTTTTCCGGACCGCTGCATGTCTTTCCGGACCGTAATGTCTACAATTAGAGTGCGTTTTGGGTGCATTGCTTTTCCGGACCGCTGCACGTCTTTCCGGACCACAATATCTACAATTAGAGTACTTTTTGGGTGCTTGCTTTTCCGGACCGTTGCACGTCTTTCCGGACCGCATGTGTTTCAAGTACAATCTGTTTTGAGCCCCTTCTTTTGGATGTCTTAAGAACTAGGTAGCCCCATAACCGGCCCCAAAAGAGGTCTGAAACCAGTTCGACACATCTTCCTGCTCACCGTCTCAAGACTTCTTCTTTCTCTCTGTCTCTTTCTCCCTTCTCTTCTTTCTTTTCCCGTTCTTTCCTGTTTTTTCTCCAAAGCTGAGGTAGCCTACGGACAAAAAGAGGTTTGAAACCACTCTGAAACACCCCGCTGCTCACCATTTACAACGCTCTCTCTCTCTCCTCTCCCTCTTCCTCTCTCTGTCTCTCTCTCTCTCTCTCTCGCCTTCTGTTTGTCTCCATCTTCCATCTTCCTCTCTCTCTCTCTCTCTATCTCTCTCTCTCTCTCTCTTTCCCTCTTCCTCTCTCTGTCTCTCTCTCTCTCTCTCTTTCTCTACCTTTTCTCTTTCCTTTTTCATCTCCCAAAGCTGGGGGTACCCAAAAAACAAGCCCAAAAGAGGTCTGAAACCACTCTGAAACACCTTCCTGCTCACCATCTCCGGGCTGCTGCTGCATGTCTTCCGGACCGCGTTGGCTGCTTTATCTCTATCTATCTATCTAACTATCTATCTATCTATCTATCTATCTATCTGCTCTTTAAATGTATTTCCTTGTATGTTGTGTTCAAGTCTTTTCTGTCTGTAAATTGTTCTTTTCATCAAGGTCAGCTAGACACCCCGAAGGGGTCTGAAACCACTCTGAAACCGCTCTGAAACCACAGAACTTCAACACGTGCAGAGCTACTTCCCAGTACTACTTCCCAGTACTACTGTGTACTACAAAGCTTGCACAAACCACTTCCCAGTACTACTGTGTACTACAAAGCTTGCACAAAGCACTTCCCAGTACTACTGTGCACTACAAAGCTTGCACAAAGCACTTCCCAGTACTACTGTGTACTACAAAGCTTGCACAAAGCACTTCCCAGTACTACTTTGTACTACAAAGCTTGCACAAACTACTTCCCAGTACTACTGTGTACTACAAAGCTTGCACAAACTACTTACAAAGCTTGCACAAACTACTTCCCAGTACTACTTTGTACTGCATGGCTTGCACAAATACTTCCCAGTTACTAATGTGTTACTAACCATAGCTTGAACAAACACTTCCAGTACTACTTGGCACTACAAAGCTTGCACAAACTACTTCCCAGTACTACTTTGTACTACAAAGCTTGCACAAACTACTTCCCAGTACTACTGTGTACTACAAAGCTTGCACAAACTACTTCTCAGTACGAAATACTAAGTGAATACTAAATATTCAACATTCGAAAACAAGTACGAGAATAATGATGAAAAACAACTGAAATGATGAAAGTGATCCGGGCGTGTGGTCGCGCAAGAAACGCGCAAGGTTGGCGCAAGCTCGGCCCAAGAGGCCTTTGTGGGAACAGTAATTTAGGACAACCCCCAAATGGTTTCGATGTGATTCTTTCATATCTTCTATATATCTTCTATAATTCATCGTTGAATCTTGACATACGCCAGATGTTACCCTCTGGTAAATAAACTTGTTGACCCTGAAAATCACCATTTTTTAGAGGAAACTATAGTCTTTGAACCCCTATTTGCCAGTCCAGGCCGAACCAAGGACAGGTGCCAACTCGGGCATTGGGAAGGAGATCGCACAGTTCCTGGCAACGAAAGGTGGGCGACCCGGCGGGATACACGAGTGAAACATATCGTGAAACACTAGAAGATCTATAAGTATAACAGTATAAACTGAAAAAGACAGGGCAACAATGTGGTTTTAATTGGTTTTATGTGGTTTTATCAATCTGACCCAGCAAAAAGGTGTCTAAGACATCTTGGCTTGTGTGGTTGACAGTTTCTGACTGAATCACACCTTGGAACAGACCAGGGCAGATATTTTTAAGCATCAACGGCATCAACGTACATTCTTATTCTTATCGATAGGATGTTGCGAGCTATAGGGTCACATCACCCTGTTGTAGAATAACCCTGGATATATATATATATATATTATATTATATAATTATATATCCGAGAATAGCGATTTTTGCAGTGAATTGCAGCACAAAGCAACTGTGAGCCTTTTCAGGTGCTACACTCTACATGCTGTGCCGCAGCAAGGATCGCGCAGAAGCTGCTCGAGAGGAAATTCTGACCGCAGCAGCAGGAGCGATCGGACGATCGTGACGGGCCGGCAAGGGATCGCTGCCCTATAATGGGTTACAGTAAAAGCCACAACTATTTAGAATTACCCTCTGGTGAACTAACATAGCAATTGAAAATGGCCATTTATAGTGGATTTTCCCATTAAAAATGGTGATTTTCCATTGCTATGTTAGTTCACCAGAGGGTACACCCTCCAAACATCATCACACATATTGATACCCTTTGGTTATGACTAACATAGCCATGGAAAGATGCACCATGCTATTAAGTTCGGTAAACCATCTATTTCGATTAGGGCCATCAACAAACCATGGCTATGTTAGTCATAACCAGATGGTATCATATGATATATCATATATCCATATATATATCCATTTATAGATGATTTTCCCATTAATACCTCCATTTATGGTAGTGATTTTCCATGGCTATGTTAGTCATAACCAGATGGTAAATGGCTATGGATCAATACCTATGAAAATACCATTTTTAGTGGGTTATTCACATCCATAAATCCCAGCTATTTTGATGTGAACTACAGGGGTACTATTGGTTTTGACCCATCCCCAGATCTTCCAAGAATTGAGCAAATTGATTAATACCTCTATTTATGGTAGTGATTTTCCATGGCAAACTGTTAGTCATAACCAGATGGTAAATAATGAATATTAACTGGCGATATTTCAAAACTAGGGGCAATTCAGTCGACATGATCACTTTATCGCCATCCTTGGTGGAACTCCTCGAAAAAAACAAGACATGATTCCACGCGTCCCCATACCCGCCTTTTTCCCATGAATACTATCCATTATACAATCTGTGTACTATATATATATATATTATTTATATGCTATATACTAGTATATATAATCTAGATGTAATTATATCATATATGAACATCTGGATCAAGAGTGTCCAATTTACTATATATAATATATATAATAAATATATATATATATATACATATGTCTCAGCTTTATTGAACCCCACGGCTGCGTGTTGCTCAAACACTAGTCAATATCAGGAGACTCCTCCAGCCGAGTCCATATTCTTCTGGCAGACTGCAGCCTCGAGGCTGCTGGGTTTTTGAACCTTTCGATACAGAAATGGTTTTGGATCAACATTTAATTCAACAGAAAGGACAATGTGTTTAATTACTCACCTTTCAGTATGATTTATACTTGCAAGCTTTTCTTTTTTCGGCAGGTACCCAAATTCAAACTATATATTTAAATGTGGTGTAGTTGGCAAGTGTTTCCAGCATTTGATGGTCAAAACAGTTCTTTTTTTTTGTGTGGCGGGGGGCGTCAATTCAGGCAGATGTCCGCCGATGTTGGGATGAGTTTTGCGCGCATCGAATGAAAGAAGGTGCGCACAACTGGCTTTGCAGGTTGACAATTTGGATTGTTGCCAAAATGGAAGATACATGAAGATACATAAACACCAACTCGTGGGTTGCCCTTCATAAAATGGGTGATTCACAAAAGAAGCTGACCTTTGAGACCGATGCACCAAAAAAATCTGTGAACATTATAACATGTTGAAACATTAGTCCATGAGTCATCCCCAAAAACCAAACAGATGGAGCCGGATTTTCGCATCGCCAAATGCGATTATGGTATGATTATAAATGGTAAATCTATATGGTAAATCAATGGTAAATCACTGGTAAATCTATATGGTAAATCACTGGTAATTCACTGGTAAATCTATATGGTAAATCACTGGTAATTCACTGGTAACTCTATGGTAAATCTATGGTAAATCACTGGTAAATACCTTATATCTTTACTCTTCTCTTTTTTGGGATGATGATACGATTATGGTTCACCGCCCAAAATCCCCGAGTCGCCACCAGGCACTGATGGCGTACGCTTGAACGGCTTGGTCTGCAATGCAGGTGGCTAAAAAATCGTTGGATGGCCACTGGCTGTGTTTACCCTCTGGTGATTTAACATAGTTATTGAACATGGCCCATTTAGAGTTGATTTACTTATTAAAGATTGTGATTTCCCATAGCTATGTAAACGTTTACCAGAGGGTAAGGGAAGTCTAGAGGAAACAAGAAGAAACCTGGTGATAAAACCATATCCCATAGGATCCATGTATGGTATGCTAACATTTGGGGTATATTGATGGGATCCATGTTACCATATATAGCAGCACCATGGGTCCTATGGGATATAAAAAACCATATGGTTTCTGTAGATGCCTTGGGAAAAATCATCCCAACTGACGAACTCCATCATTTTTCAGAGGGGTAGGTGGCTCAACCACCAACCAGAAAACCACATGGTTTCTGTAGATTGTGCCGATGCCAACACCAACCGATCCATTGAATGTCGGGATCGCAGGTGCCCTCGCAAACACCAAGACGATGACCTCCGAAGAGGTGGAAGTGACCTTTGCGGCACATCTCCTCTTTGGCGCCATGGCACTCGGGGGGATCCGTCGGTAAATCTATGGTAAATCTGTGGTAAATCTATGGTAAATCACTGGTAAATCTATGGTAAATCACTGGTAAATCTATGGTAAATCACTGGTAAATCTATGGTAAATCACTGGTAAATCTATCTAAATCTGTGGTAAATCTATGGTAAATCACTGGAAAATCACTGGTAAATCTATGGTAAATCTATGGTAAATCCGTCGGTAAATCTATGGTAAATCCGTCGGTAAATCTATGGTAAATCACTGGTAAATCTATGGTAAATCTATGGTAAATCACTGGTAAATCAGTGGTGAATCTATTGTAAATCACTGGTAAATCTATGGTAAAGCCGTCGGTAAATCTATGGTAAATCACTGGTAAATCTATGGTAAATCTATGGTAAATCTGTAGTAAATCTGTGGTAAATCACTGGTAATTCACTGGTAAATCACTGGTAAATCTGTGGTAAATCACTGGTAAATCTATGGTAAATCTATGGTAAATCACTGGTAAATCAGTGGTAAATCTATTGTAAATCACTGGTAAATCTATGGTAAATCTATGGTAAATCCGTCGGTAAATCTATGGTAAATCACTGGTAAATCTATGGTAAATCTATGGTAAATCTATGGTAAATCTATCTAAATCTGTGGTAAATCTATGGTACATCACTGGAAAATCACTGGTAAATCTATGGTAAATCTATGGTAAATCTATGGTAAATCCGTCGGTAAATCTATGGTAAATCCGTCGGTAAATCTATGGTAAATCACTGGTAAATCTATGGTAAATCTATGGTAAATCACTGGTAAATCTATGGTAAATCACTGGTAAATCTATGGTAAATCTGTGGTAAATCTATGGTAAATCACTGGTAAATCTATGGTAAATCTATGGTAAATCTATGGTAAAGCCGTCGGTAAATCTATGGTAAATCACTGGTAAATCTATGGTAAATCTATGGTAAATCTGTAGTAAATCTGTGGTAAATCACTGGTAATTCACTGGTAAATCTATGACAAATCTATGGTAAATCTGTAGTAAATCTATGGTAAATCACTGGTAATTCACTGGTAAATCACTGGTAAATCTGTGGTAAATCTATGGTAAATAACTTGTAAATCTATGGTAAATCACTGGTAATTCACTGGTAAATCACTGGTAAATCTATGGTAAATCACTGGTAAATCTATATGGTAAATCACTGGTAAATCTATGCATGGTAAATCTTTGGTAAATCACTGGAAAATCACTGGTAAATCTATGGTAAATCACTGGTAATTCACTGGTAAATCACTGGTAAATCACTGGTAAATCTATGGTAAATCACTGGTAAATCTATGGTAAGTCACTGGTAAATCTATATTGTAAATCTATGGTAAATCACTGGTAAATCTATGGTAAATCACTGGTAAATCTATGCATGGTAAATCACTGGTAAATCTGTGGTAAATCTATGGTAAATCTCCGGTAAATCTATATGGTAAATCACTGGTAAATCTATGGTAAATCTATGGTAAATCTATGGTAAATCACTGGTAAATCTATGGTAAATCACTGGTAAATCTATCTAAATCTGTGGTAAATCTATGGTAAATCACTGGAAAATCACTGGTAAATCTATGGTAAATCTATGGTAAATCCGTCGGTAAATCTATGGTAAATCACTGGTAATTCACTGGTAAATCACTGGTAAATCTATATGGTAAATCACTGGTAAATCTATGCATGGTAAATCTTTGGTAAATCACTGGTAAATCTATGGTAAATCACTGGTAAATCTATATGGTAAATCACTGGTAATTCACTGGTAAACCACTGGTAAATCTATGGTAAATCACTGGTAAATCTCTGGTAAATCTATATTGTAAATCTTTTTGGTAAATCTGTATGGTAAATCTGTATGTTAAATCTATGGTAAATTTATGGTAAATCTATGGTAAATCTATAGTAAATCTATGGTAATCAATAATCAACCGTATTATAATGCGGTTAAAACAATGCCATAAACCACCCATGACTGGGAATGGTAACCATGGTAACCGTACCACCTATAAAAATTGTGATGACTGGGGGATGGTTTGTGGCATTGTAACCACATCAATGCTAAAATCTGGTAAATTCAACTTTGAACTTGAGATCAAATGGGTTGCTGACAATCGCCAGTTTAATTGACGTAAATTTGACGACATTCTGATGAATTGTCTGATTTTTGACGGTTTTCTGGTTTTGGCAGTGTGAAAAAAACCTCGAAGTCCGCCTGCGATTAATTCTGGAGGCAGGTACGAACCCAGCATCAGGTTGGGCACTGGTCCCCTGGGCCATGATCTGATGTGAGAAGCTCAGTTCCTAACAGTTCCCACCTGAAAAATGATCCTGAGCCAAGGCACCTACTTGCTGGGAAAGTTGGCCATGCCATGTCTGGAAGCAACAGTGGATTCGAGATTGGCTCCTGAGCCTAAAATAGTGGGTCGAAGTCCAAACGGAAATGCCTGGGGAGTTTCTGGATCATGTTGTGGGCGAAGTGGTTGTTTTTGAATGTTTTTGATATTTGTGTATATATTTGTGGTGTTGTTGGGTGACTTTCCATTTTCCGGCGATTCTGGGCTGAGTTTGTTTCAGGGAAATCCACATGTTTGATCAGGGTGCGGCTGGCAGGTTGTGGTAAGCAGCGGTGGCATGTACAACACGGCCTTTCCGAAGTGGGAGGATGCTACATGGACAGGCCGGCAATCCCTTGGCGGAAGTGCGCAAAACGCGTGATTCTTTTAGAATTGGCACCTTCAAGAAACATCAAGATGCGGCAATGGGACAATCCTCACTCTCTATCCATAGATCTGTTGAACATCGATTTCTGCAGTTTATTCAGCATTTATGCAGGGTATTCCAAGCTTTCCCTTCACCAGGCACTAGCAAGTACGATGGTCAGTGCGCCAAGCCGCAAGTAAGGGCAGCTTTCACCGCGAGGGAAATTTGCTCCAAAAGGAGATTCCAATGTGAGCGCTGTGTCAAAGCCATTGGTGTAGACCCATTTTATCCCATGTTGATCATGTTGTTTTTTTCTATTTCTTTTTGCCTTGGAAGTCTTGTGGAAAACTGATACCTTGCACTGGTCAGTGGTGTTCTAGCTTCATGGAAGAATGCGGCTATGGCGGGGGATTGATACACCATTAAAATAGGTCAAACTAGGTTTTCACCGGTAAGGTTCAATCATCGTATATAGATTCATTTAAGCTACTGGATGCTTCACCAAATGCTACTGGTCGTAAGGTTGCACATCACGTGGTAAACCCAATAGTGAACTATCCGATTCACCAACAGTGACTGAGGGTTATGATAGACATCATCCTTCATTTCATCCCACTTCTAGACGTATAGACCGTATAGCCAATTTCAAAAACCTCAAACTTGGGGATGGTTTAGGACATGTTTATTATTGGGTTTACGACATTACAATGACATTATTTTCAACTGGGTAACCAGTTGGAGCTAGAGTTTCGCTTTTCCATAGTTGCCCAAAATTTCTTGGGACATTATATCGTGGAAAAATAAAACCGGTTAGTTGATTCTTTAGCATGACATATCATTTCTTGGGACAATACTATGGAGGTTTCCTAAAATGGAGGTACCCCCAGCTCTCATCCAGTCGTCATAGATGACCATGACTCAAAGTGGTACCCCACTGAATCCCCCCGTATCACCATAGTCTCGATAGATTAACCATAGATTAATCATTATTGATTATCCACTATTAACCATAGATGAACCATATATAGATTAACCATAGACTAACCATAGACTAACCATAGATTAACCATACCATTATTAACCATGGTATCTATTGATGATTTTGAGTTCCTGGCCTCAGGTTTGCCTACGCCTACGCCAAGCGGGGTCAAGTCTTGCTCTGCGAAGAGTGGGCCAAATCCCATCCCAAGGCGATCAGATCCTACTTGGCCCACTATACTTATGGATACTTATGGTTGATGGTATGGCTAATCTATGGTTAGATATATAATATGCTTAATCTATGGTTAGTCTATATATGGTCAATCTATGGTTAATAGTGGATAATCAATGGTTAATCAATGGTTAATCTATACTTATCTATACTTCACTTTACTGACCGCGCTATATTTTATCAATCTTAATCATACTTAACTGCACTTGACTTTTCTAATCTGAATTTTCTCTAGACTGTCGACGATTCGGGAACATGGCAGTGGTTGGAAGTGGGGATTGGATTGACCATCAAGAATTGGCAATAGATTATGTTGATATATTTTGATGGAAGATTGAATTTGGACATAAAACCACTATGTTTAAGATGCTGGTGGCATTGTCGCTCCAATATTTTGGATATCAAACTCAGAATTGGGATATAATCCCACATTGTGGCATAAAAATGCATAAAACATATACTATCATATGGTTTCATCACAGTTGACCTTCAAATCTTCCAGGGGCCTTCCGTCAGGTGAAGGTCGTGAGTTGCCATCCCGGATGGACCTCCACACCTGGAGTGGATGCGGCTTATGGCTCCAGCCACTGGCTTTCTGCGGCTGTGCTGTTTCGGGTGTTAAATTAAATAAATATATGGGTATGGATCAATACATTAATACCATTTTTAGTGGGATGAACATCCATTTACCAGCTATTTTGATGTTCACCAGGGGTACAAGGTTTTGACACACTGCCATATATATATAATTATATACAATATAGAAAAATACACATATATATATGACATATGATATATATATAGTATGGTATTAACCGTATTAATACATATACAATATAATGAATACACCTATATCCTATATAATATATATATATATTATGATATTAATAGACTTGCAATATCATAAATACACCTATATCCTACTATATCTGATATATTATGATTTAAATACATATATAAAATATGGTTTAAATACACATATATGATATATACATATTTAATATGATATAAACACATATACAATATATAAACAAATACACATATATGATTTATATACATATAGCATGATTTTTATACATACACAATATAATAAATACACCTACACCCTATATATGATATATATTATGATATTAATACATTTACAATATAATACATACACCTATATCCTATATGTGATATATATATATACATAGTTTGATATTAATACATATACAATATAATATATACACATATCCTTCATGTAAATATATATATATATATATTATGACATTAATACATATACAATATAATAGATACACATATATGATATATACAATATGATTTTTATACATATACAATATATAATTAATTCAACAATATGATAAATATAAAATCATTTAAATACATATACAATATACTAAATACATATATATATTATATGATGTGAATACATATACAATATAATAAATACACCTTCATCCTACTATATATGATATAATATATTTTGATATTGATACATATACAATTTATCATAAATACACTTATTTAATTTAATACATATATATAATATGATATTAATACATATACAATATAATAAATACACATATATGATATGTATATATATAATATGATTTTAATACATATACAATATATAATAAATACGCCTATATGTGATATATACAATATGATTTTAACACTTACAATATATATTGAATACACCTATATGACATATGATATATATATATATACATATACACATAATTTGATATTAGTACATATACAATATATAATAAATACGCCTATATGCGATATATACAATACGATTTTGACACATACAATATATATATATATTGAATACACCTATATGACATATGATATATATATATATACACATAATTTGATTTTAATACATATACAATATATAATAAATACGCCTATATATGATATTTTACACTATACTATATATATAAATATGTGTTTAAAGGCTTATAACTGTTGCCACTCAATCCTTGACGGACATTTGCTGCTTCAGAATCTACAGTCGCTAAGCGTTCCAAGATGTTCCAAGCACCCGTTGAGAACGCGGCAAAGTTTATCAAAACCCTATAGTAAACAAACAGTTTGCTATTGAAAATAACCATAGAAATAGTGGATTTACCCATGAAAAATTGTGATTTTCCATAGTTTTCTGTAAACGTTTACCAGAGGGTAGAGGAAAATGATGGAAAAAAGGTGGAAAATGCACATCCATAGATCCCAACAATTTTTGGAGGCCCTCAAGGGGAGTTGTGCCCCAGTTCTGAGGCCAGTCTTACCTCCAACCCCTGCGGAGCTTGTGGCAGGGTGCTGAAGGCATCATTTGGTGCCTGTGAATCACATGGGGATGGAAACCTGGGGGGGTGGAAGAGTTGTTCTTTGACAATATGGGATCGGTCTCCTGCGAAAATGTTCATCTTCAGACTTGGAACCATGCCTATAATTTATGTTGACGGGAAGAAAAAACTGCAAGGCCGGCAGTGTTGATATGCACAGCTGAAATTGTCGTGGCCTGAGCCTGAGGTTGCTGGTCGCAGAGGCTTCCAAATTGCAAGCTGGGGTTTTTTACCTGGATCGCGAACCACAAGTCAAGCACATGGCAGGACGCCTGCACAGAATGCGTGGCCCTTTGAAGAGGTTGCAGTTCACCTCGCAATTCTTGTAGCTGTTGATCCTGTTGCATCCATGATGTTACAGGATTTTTCAACGTTTCCAGAAGTGGGTAGCAGTGGCTCCAAGATTTTTCAAACCCGGAAGTTGTCTACACGGTTCTCTGGCAGAAGCAGATGAAAACCAGGAAGTAATATGAAATACCATCTGGTTATTTAACATAGCCATGGAAAATCACCATGCTATTAAGTTCGATAAACCATCTATTTCTATGGACCATCTATACCATGGCTATGTTAATTTACTGGAGGGTAATTGGGTCTCTGGAAGTGTTTGGTTTTCAACACGGTTCCCCGCTCCATGGGCACAGGACCTTTCTTCACTGAGGGCTCTGCCACAAAGAATTCACCCGGTGAGGTGGCGGACATGATGCGACTGCTCGAGGAACCTAGGACACGGCAAGTTCGATGGTGGGGGTCATAGAAGGGTTGTCTTGTTGTGAAATGACAAATTAAAATGATTTAGTATAAATTTATATAAATTTATGGCTTTGATACTGGCAAGTTCGAGTCTGTGAACTTGGTTCTTCAGGCTTGCGTCAACTTGAAACTGCCGGTCTTTTCTGAACTTTTCATAATTTCACACGATATTTTCCGTTTGGGTCAATCAATTACTGATGTTTTTCGGGGATCCGTGGGGGTTGGGATACACTACAAAAAAGAACACCCGAGTTGTTGACCTCCCAAAGCACCACCAACAGCAGCCAGTCATCTTTGGGCCTTCTCATTGGATGACCGGTCAAAACATCCCAGTGAATCCCATGGGTTTCACCGATTTTCACCGGTCAGGGCCCCAGGGTTTCCGGTCAAGGATTGGTCTGAAGGCCGACGGGACAGCGCCACACGACTGGCCAGCGCGCCCTTGAAAGCCATGGAGCGATCCATCGAACCCTGAAGACCAAGGGGATTGGCCTGGGGGCCGGGAAGGGAATGGCGTCCCAAAGCATTCGAAAAAAGCCAAGAGAATTGGAGTGTTTCTTGATATGTTGCTATAATTTGCTATTGTTGGTGTCATTTCGGAATCACCAAGTTTACAGGGTGGGGTGAGCTTGGGGATCAACATGGAGTAACACCTCGGTTCATGTCAAAGGGCGGTCCCAACCTCAGGAATTGTCAAAGTTCATGGGCAAGTGGTATGTGCCTTGGACCGCATTTTCTGGAGATTCCGGAAACGGGCCTTTCAGCGACTCAACAAGGGTCTGATCCCAAAAATCTTCCAGGGCCTGTCCATATGACCAGACTCTGGTACACTTTATGAAGCACACAGATTGCCATTTGGCGTCTTGAAAACTCGAACTCTGTGTACGTTTTAAGCACTTCAAGTTTGATGCATTTCTCTCTCAAACGGTTAGAGACGCATGTTTCAAACGCAAAGAAAAAAATGGATCCAAATGGAAACCGCTTTGCGACCGCAGGTTATTGCCAACATTCCAACGTACTTTGACAAGGGAACCAGCAACAACATCGAGAACTACAGCTTGGATGAATCAGGTGACAAAGCAGATGTGGGTTTGTGTGAAAATGAGCCCCAAATTGAATGGATTGTGTTTTTTTCCATTTGTATAAATAGCAATAAAAATGGGGTATCCACCATTCTCAGCCACATCCATATGGACGAAGTATTGGAGACATCACCAGTTCCCCTGAAATCTCCAACTCATGGCGTCGCAGGAAAGACGGTGATGGTGGATTTCACTTATAAGCAGGCGCAACGTGATCATCTGTCTGCCTGTTTGTCCGTCCGTCCGTCTGTCTCTATCTATCTATCGATCGATCTATCGATCGATCTATCGATCTATCTATCTCTATCTCTATCTCTATCTATCTCTATACCTATCTCTATACCTATCTCGATCTATATTTTTAGTCGGAATATGTCGGAATTATATACATGTGTGTACACATATATCTACACGGAATTACACGGAAAACTCGATCTACCTCTATTTATCTAAGAGCACCCCCTTCTGGTTGCGACGGATCTTCGCCAGGGCTCCTCCAGCAAGTTGTTGCAACAGAAAGCAGAGGCCTCGCGACTGATGTGGCCATCGAGGAAAGATGGAGGTTTCCATAAATCAGGATGCCCCAATATGGAACCCGCCATATGACTGACATGGTTTTGATTCGACGTTTGGTGTAAATCTCGCTGTCCGCGTCACATTGCTTCACCATTTTTCGGCCGACGTTTTCCCAGGAACATGTTGGAAAATTACTCTTGACCATGGACATTCATGACAAAATCTGATTCACAGAGGCGAGGCCGAAAGGCCCCGAATTGTCGAAAGACAGTGACTGACAGTGGATCAGTGGTGAGTTTGATTGACAAATTGAGGTCCACTTTGACCAATTGTTTGATCGATACTGTGATACTTTGATCCTTTCCCATTTGGGTGAGGTTCGGGCACCTTTTTCCCTTCCAGGTGGTCAATGATGCCTGCACTCAATGGGCCATCTCGCCCAAGATAGGCACCACGGACGGTTAAGGCTAACATCCACCAGTTCATGGCTAATTTTTCGTAGGCAGCTAGGGGAAACCAATGGGCTGGGGTGTTAGCCCAACTACCAACTACCCTCTGGCAAACGTTTACATAACTATAGAACAGCACCATTTTGAATGGGTAAATCCACTATTTCGACTGGGCCATGTTCAATAGCAAACTGTTAGTCATTACCAGGCATTACCAGAGGGTAACTAAAGGTATGGATTTTTCCACCATTTTTGACAGGCAATATCAATCATCTTATGATCATCTATAGTATTCTGGGCCATGGCTCGCATCAAACCGCTATTTAAGGACGTTTTCGCTGGCTGGGTTGCATGGCCAGTAGGTCCGTAAGTCCCTGGATTTTTTCCACCATGGTCAATGTCTGGGGTGAGATGACTTGAGGTGACAAGGTGAATAGGTGACTCAATGACCATTGATGATCATCTAAATGATAGGAATATATATATAATTATATATATATATATCAATTTCAGATTTTTTTTTAAAAAAAATACCAATCCAATGATTAATTTATGATATCAATTTCCCCTATGATCGTCTATGATCATAATCATCTATGTGCAGATGATGAAGACGTCCTGATGTAGAAAGCTGACATACTCGTAGCCTAAATCTTCCCCTACCATTCCTTTGATCTTCCAAGTGTGGTGTCACAAGCACAGCTTGACCTTGGCCAGGAGTCTTCATTCCTTTGCGTCTTGCATACCTCGTTGTCGACTGCGCCGAGGAACACAGCGGGAGGGGGGGGCAACTTGATCCATCTGTCAGGAGTTACCATCAGTATGTGTGTATCATGTCGTGCGTTTTTTTTGTATTGTCTATTCTCTATCGTTGATATGGCTATGGGTCAAAACCTACTAATCATGTGGTATAAGGGATGACCATCAACCTTGAGGTTCACTGGGGGTACAGGGTTTTGACCCACATCCATATTGTAGTTATTATGGTATTACCCATAGGATCCATGTATGCTATATATGGTGACATTTACCATCAATATACCCCCAATGTTAGCATATATACCATACATGGATCCTATGGGTTATGGTATTATTATGGTATATTACGGGATTACTTTTCGTTAGAATCGTAATTGAAGTATGCTGATTGTTGTTGCAATTTATAATCGTTATTTTGCGCAAACATTGAATTATTGATAGATTATCAATTTTTATTAATCTATTAAATTAGTATACAGTATATTCTGTTATACTATGCCTATTATGTTGTTAGCTATACATCCAATTATCTTCCCCTTGCAGTATATCAGAATCGTACCACCTTTATTCCCCAGTGAAATCACTTATAGTTGGATGCTTAAAATCACGGTACCCTCTGGTTATGACTAACATAGCCATGGTATAGATGGCCCCAATCGAAATAGATGATTTTCCCAGCGATCGAAACCTCCATTTATGGTTGGGATTTTCCAGTTCGCTATCTGTTAGTCATAACCAGATGGTAAATGCCAGGCTTTTCCCCATGGTTTTCCCATGACATCGCGAGGACTACTCCACCTGCATCATCGGTGTGCCGGACCGGCGCTACCTGTGGATCATGGCGCGCACGCCGCAGATCGCAGAGCCCACCTTGGATGCACTGATCGCCAAGAGCCGAAGCCTAGGCGCGGTGATATCTGGGATTATCTAAGGGGAATACGGATAGAACAATGCAATACATATACAATACATATACAATATATATATATAATATATATATATATATATATAATATATAATATATATATGTGTATATATATATATGTATATGTGATTTGGCTGTGTCCGAAAATTTGTGATTTATGAAACAAATACACAACTTTTCATGGGGATAGTTTTCAGCTAAATGATTTTGGATTTTGACATATTTTTAAGACAAAGCCAACGAAACGCTGGGGTGTGACAATGAAATAGGGAGATGGAGCAAGGATAGAACTTATGACTTTCTAGAACTTACACAAGTGATGAATAAATAGGGAGATGGAGCAAAGATAGAATTTATGACTTTCTAGAACTTATACAAGTGATAAATGTGTATATAATATAGGTAGATCTGCATACACATACACACACATGACATGCAAATACACATACATCTATACGCATACACACACCCCTTGCATCTCACATTTTGAGGACCTGGAGTTATGACCCATAGCCACAGTTGAATCCAGCTATCTGCATCAGCAGATCCCGTGTTTTTTTTTTTTTAGATTTTTGGAAAGTGTGGACCACTGTTCTGCCAGATGGTTTCCTTTAAATAACTGTCTTTCCAGGCGCATGTATCGATCGGTACAGTCTGCGACCGGCGATCTCGAAAAAAATCCTAAGGGCGACTAGCTGGTATCCAGAAATGACCACACACTTAATGGTGATTTGTTGTAGACTCTTCGTACACATCCGGTGAAATTGATCTTATCTGGTGTTTTTTACGTAGGGTTGCTGGATGGGTTGCTGGGGGTTGCTGGGATGATTATTATTCGAAAATGGTGGATCATTCCCGAAAATTCCCTGCGTTTTTTACGCACCAGTAAGTCTCATTGCGTGAAACATTGACAGCCTTATCCCAAGTCCCAAACCTCCTGGACCTGGCACCGGAGATGACTTGGCCCAGGTTTCGATGATAAGGAGATTGTCAGAGTACCACAGGAGGTTGTGATTAGCTAAGCCTCTCAATGTACCTGTGGTGACTGGATGGCCCAGGGCTCTCCAAGCCTGGCCTTTTGGTTGTTGACATTTGAAGTCATTGACACACACGGCGTATAGACAAAGTTTGAGCCCAGGAAAACAACTGACAACAACTGAATTCATCCGGCCAGGACAGGTTTCAATGGCAAGGCCAGTAAAAACTGGTGGTACACGGCCACCATTGCCGCAGACAGCGTGGCATCTGCAAAGCAGACAGGTTTTCAGCTTTTGCCTTCCTTGATGTGCTAGACATCCTGGAAGTTCCACACATTTTCCGCGCCCCTCGGCCCCTGGGAGCCGCTTGTTGTCCATCATCCAGTTTTACATAGCCTGCAACCACATGGAGATCACTCACAGGGGCAGCCAAACTCTTTGTCAGAAATCGTCCTCGCTGATGCGTTTAGCATCGCTGGAGGGAATGGATGTCAACAAACATGGAACACTGCAGCAATGATGTGTGTATGTCACAGATGCAACATCGATTGCGCGTCCAAAAAGTATAGGCGCTGCAGGGTTTGCAGGGGCCGACTGATGCTTGGGAGTGATGTAGATCTACTATAGGAATCCAGCCAGTTTGAGTGTGTACCTGTGGCAAAAGATGGGGGACCCTCCAAATCTTCCGACAAAAAGTATCTTGAAAGCGGAACTTTAAAAATACGCGAATGCCATTCTGGACATAGCTTGTAGATGCTTGTAGTACCCCACCCGTCCATTCTGTGTCCCAGGCTCTTCTTTCCTTGGTCAAGAGCGGTGAGTTTCTGGGACCCAAGCCGAGCGGCAATGCCAAGAGTTTGACCCATGATTGTTGCTCCTAGCATGTAGATACGTAGTATGATACTGTATATTACACACATAATATAGAAACATGTAGCTCAATTTTAAATAGTTTTATAGTTCATCTTCAATCCATATGTCTATAATATACCATATAAATATCTATAATATACCATATAATTCCATATGTCTATAATATACCATCTGCCTATATATAAATACTATATAATGTGGTACACCCAATGCTGTCATCCCCAAGTCATCGCCATTCTGGGAAGCTGAACGGAAACGCGAGGTTTCGGGACTATGCCTTCGATGCGGACGTCTATGCGTGATCACTGCCACGATTGAAATACGAGCCGGGCGCTGGCAGATGGCAAATCATCCCACAAGAGATAAAACCTGTCATTGAAATGAGTTTCAAATGTTTCAATACGGTAATAATACGGTAATAATATGGAATTGAATGGCTGAAAAATGGTGTAGATATCAATTGATGGCGATTTAAAATTCTAGTTCGATGTATTTTGTGATATTTTGTAATATAACTAGGGGTTTACATCAAAAATGGGCTTCTGAGGTGATTTTTTTTTAAGAAATCGTTGCGCGGGGTTGGAATCATACGATTTGTTGCAGTTTTCGAAGGAATGAGCCCGATGATGTCGCAAAGTATGGCGAATCAATGGTGAATTGCTCTAGAGGGCGTTTTATGGCGATTGAACCATATTGAACCAATCAAAATATGGTGATGGAATGGCGAATCAATGGTGATATTCAAGTTTAAACCATGGTTACTGTAACCAACAGTAACCCTTAATTTTATGGTTTTTCGTAACGTTTCAATAGCTACAGTTATACGATATCGTGATTTTTGTCATGGGATATATCACCCCTTAAATGCTATGAATCCTCTGCATGTGAAATGTCGCTCATGTTTTTTTGGGGTTCCCCGATTCAGAATGAAACTGTGGAAACAGAGCCTCTTGAATTTTGATGGTTTATTTATGTTTATTTCATGGAAAACCCTATGAAAATATGGATGAGTTAGGGGTACCCCCACTTTAGGAAACCTCCATTTAACGCAGTGAATGAAATTTATATCAGCCACTTTCAAGTCTTATTAGTAGTTGATCCAAAAAAAACTGGTATCAAGCAGCATAGATTCCTTTCCTTGGGGGCTTGGGGGTGTTTTGTTGGCGACGATCTGAAAAACACGAGAAAAACAGTCGAAAGCAGTGATGGCTCACCACAAGTTGCAGTGAGGTTGCTGTGCCAACTGTTGGCTGGTTGGTGGTTTCAAACATGACTTTTATTTTCCATTTTATATATGGGATGAAATGGACATCGGATGTCATCCTTCCCATTGACGAACTCATATTTTTCAAGATGGTTATTGCACCACCAACCAGTTGGAAACCTGACTCTGATTGATGGAGAACGGTAGCATCAACGATGATTTCTCATCTCCATGTGGGTCCGAGAGGCTACGACAGAATCTCATGCTTCATCATCATATCTTGAATTCAAACGACATGTTTTTCAATGGATTGGTTTAAGGGAACATGTACAGGAAAACCCCATGGCCCATATTTAAATATATTTATATATTATATAAATATAATGGGAAAATCTATGGTTTCTTGTAGATTTTCCCTTAAACCAATCCATTGATTCATGGGTATAACACCGCATTTCTGAGACATAGCCCAGTGCGTGTGGCTCAAACGTTACGCCAATGCTTGGATGATGAGTAAAGTTACCAAAGAAATTCGTTGTTTCCAGTAATTTTGATCCATATACATGAAAACATCTATAGTAAGGTGGGTTTATGATTGGATCGATGAAATCCCCATATCCCAATTTGAAGATTTTTTTAGGGGTTCAATTCCGGACAGGTGGTGCCCCCTAGCAGATGTTATAAGGTGGTTCACTATCCATCTAACTTTAGTTCCAATCACCATAAACCCGAGTTAAGCTACTTAGCTAACTATGGGATACCACCTTGTATTACTATTAGGATCTATTCGGATTATTGGGTTTACCTCTTGTAGAATGCCAGGGGCCTCTTTCAGCTCTTGTCTCTGGCTTGCTCGTGGCGTACGGCTGAGTCGGGACCCCAGATGCTCCTGGGGAGGCCTTCGGTGTTCAATTCGCACCACTATCAAATCTTTGAGTAAATCTAATGTGACAGAATGACTCTTGTATCAGATGAATATCAAGTAATATATATATATAATTATGTACACATAATAATACATAATATATATATATATAATACGATTTCTATAATTTATATACATATGACATTGACATATACATACGATTTCTATAATTTTTCCAGGCTTTTGACTCGACTCGCCCTGATCCTTCCATTTTGGAAGTGGCTGAGGTCGCAGCCTTATGTTGTGAAGGTCCAACAGATCTTTTGGTGCGCCGGTCAAGCTGCTGGGAGTCATCCAAGGAACTTTGCGTCGCAATTTTTGATGGATCTATGGTTAATTTATGGTTAATCTATATACCCTATGGATCCAAGTACCTTCTTAGGAAGTGTTTGGGGTATAATTTACTATAATTTGGAGGGTTAAGTACCTTCTCAGACAGTGTTTGGATCCATAGGGATATGGTCAATTAATCTATGGTCAATCTATTGGTAATCTATGGTTAATCTGACTATCCCCAACTTTATTGCTGTCATCGCCAAACGGTTTGCTTGGCCGCATAGATAAAATGATCAGTGTCTTGTCAGGGCCATGGTCCGAGCGCCCGAATTCGATGTCGCGGAAGCAGAGGAGCAGGTGCCGTCGTCTCCCTTTCAAACATGGCCACAAGCAGGGTAGGAGCTCTACTTGGAAAACAAAAGTGTCTCTAACTCTAACCAATAGAATGGGTGATTTCAAGCTCAAGATGTGGGTCAACCCACTGATCACTGGGTCATGAAGCATGGCTTTTCCCAACGAAAAGTGACATGTTTTGACTGCTTGGGGCCTGCCGAAGGCTTGTTTCATCGGGAAACTCATGATGGTCACCAAGCTGTTTAGTCAACAAACATGACAAATGCATTACAAATGCACAATTCTAGTTTTTAAATTACAATACCCATAGGATCCATGGTGCTGCTATATATGGTGACATGGATCCCATCAATATACCCCCAATGTTAGCATATATATACCAGCACCATGGATCCGTCATGGGATAGTTACATATAGTTGCGAGTACCGGAGCATACAGCCACCTAAACCCTGCATCTTTCCCCAGCGCTCCAGTGTGGCGAGCTCCTTTGGAGCCTTTGTTCGCGACTCGATGGCAGTGCTCAGCAGGCGGATCCCATGGAACATGGAAAAACAACATGGACAAAATCATGGAAAGAGCATCGTTTACAAGTAGCTGAACTCGAGTTTATGGTGATGAGAACCTCATCCTGAAACAACATGAAACAACTTTTCATACCAAGTTCGTATTAATACTCCCCCCCAGGAAGGTAAGAGTTCCCCCCGATAAAAAACTAGGGCTTGTCATAAGAAACAACCAACCTGCCTGCCGGGTGGGATGGTGAGATTGGGCATGGGACATCCCTTGAAGACGTCAACATTTTTCAACCATTAAAAACCAACTAATTAAAACCATCTAAAATATTATAAAATGATGATGATGATTATTATTATTACAATTATAATTATTATTATTATTATCATTATTATTTATTATTATTATTGTTATATATGTATATATATATATATATCTATCCTGATTACCACACAATTAGGATTTCTGAGCAGGGTGTTGTTTAATAGGGGGTCGCACATGTTTATTAATAGGGAGGGACCAACCCAAAGTAGTATTGCCAAACATTTGTTTGGGGAATGTGAGTGTTGATTAATTCGGGGTTGATTATTAATTTGATCTTAACATCAGCTAGTTATGGGTCACAACCTTTAGGGTTTTCCCACATGATTTTTCCCTTCCAGTTGCAGGAATGCAGGTGGTGATGGAAAGTCACGCTTGGTCACTTTTTCTGAAAAACCATTGGACAGTGTTTAAAAGTGACCAGCTCCAATCAAAATCTGTTCAGAGCGTATCAGACCATTACCTATAGAACCGTTGCATATCAACCGTTCTATTCTTTGCTATTCTTTGTACAAAGGTAGCGACCATCAAAATTAATCCCTATCCACGATGGGTCAAACATGGAGAACTAAATACCTTGACCCGGGCCAGCTTCGAAGTGTCTTTGCTTGAACACCCATCAACATCCATAAACTATAAGCATTTGTGAATCTGAGATGGTGAGGTATCCATCCACATCAGCTTCAAAGCGAGGCGGAATGGCCCTTTTTGCGGGACATCCTGCTGTGGCTCTACGAGAAATTCCCCCGAAAAAGAGCAGAGCTTCGGGGGGTCATCGGCAGGTGCGTCCCTGCAGTTTGTCGCTTGTGGATGCTGGCTGGTCTATGTTAAAGGGAAACACCATAAATCTTTGGATCATAGTTACTTATCAGCTACTTACGTTACTTAGCAGCTACTCACCAGCTACATGCCAGCTACCTAGCAGTTACTGTACTTACACCTTCCGCATGGTGCGTCCTGCCAACATTTGTTGATGATGGCAGCACGGACCGTGGCTCCAAGACCAGGGACGGCTAATGCTAAAACCAACCATTTTATGAAGTATAAAGGGACATACCCTCTGGTAAACTAACATAACTATTGAAAATTGCCATTTATAGCTGATTTACCCATTAAACATGGAGATTTTCAATAGCTATGTTAGTCATTACCAGAGGGTATATGGGGATTTCGATTTTAAGGCTTCGTCCAGAAATGGAACATATCAGTGGCCATTGGAGTGGCTAAAATGATGGTAGTGGATTTTAGGAGTAGCCCATTCAAAATATTTCAAACACACCAAGAAGCAGTCCTAGAATTGGTGATTTCGGGACAATTCATAGGACAGTCCCATATAATGGCCAATTTATTCATGGCCTACATATATATCCATATATTTGATACGTATTTGATAGGTAAAATATGGTAACATATGGTAAAATCCTCCGTTTTTCCAGTGTTTCTGGTGTTGCCTTCCCGGTGTGTGAGGCCCTTGAAGAGTGCGGCGCGCTTCGTGCACAAGTCTGCACCATTGGCTCCACTCATGCAGGCACCATTGATCATGGCTTATCAACCATTACCATGATTACCATGGCTAATTACCATTAATTACCATGACGCATCCATGGTATGATATGCTAACATAAAGGGGGTATATTGATGGGATCCATGGCACACCATATATAGCAGCACCATGGATCCGTCATGGGGTTTGAATTGGACGAAGATCTCCTTTTTGGCATCGATCAACCATGATCAACCCTCCTTAAATCGCGCGTCAGGTGTTAGGACCCATCATCAGAGGCTTTCAACTTCCCCTGGGTGAGGCAAGTCAGCGACTTCAACCTGTTTGGCGAATGTTTTCTTGTGGTGTTTCGATCACCATGGAAACCAGGGCAGCCATGGCTGAGAATAATTAAGTGAAGAATGTGGAACTCAAGATGTTCAGTGATTTTCAGCTCTACGAATCATCTAATTATGAAATCTTTTTGGTTCCACACTGCCTGGGGATGACAGGCTCAAAGAAGGCTGCTGCTGGAAACCTTGCTGCCTCTGTAGGGAGCTCAGCGTTTCAGCACCCCCAAAAAAGGGATTGTACACTTATGGCCCTGGCCCAACAGCTCTCCTATAACATCCTATAACTAATTGTTATATATCATGAAATACTCCCTGAAACGCTGTTAGGCCAGGGCCACAACAGTCCCACATCAGACACATGAGAGTCCTGGAACTCAGCGCGACTTAGCGCACCATCACTCAGCTATAGCTAGATTTATTGAAAGGCCGTTTGTTCCATTCGGAATTTGCCCATGTTGGGTGCCAAAAACCTGGAAAAACCTCTGGAAGTCTCAGGCACAAGTCCAATGAATGGCTTTGTTGGGACCGGCAAACTCCAATAGTCTCGATGTACCACAAGGAGCTGGTGCACTGCATGTGGCTGGCCAAGTCGAGTTTTTTTTCGGGTCCTGGGTGATGAAGAAACCATCGGTTGGTCCATTTGATCATTGGAAACTTTGAGTGCAGTGGTTATTGATATTCAAATATATTCAATAACTGTGTTTGATAGTGATTGATGATTTTGTTGCAAAATAGGCTACCTTTAAAATCATTCGATTTATAATGAATGAATCTTGCGCAAATTCAAAGTTTGGGGCACGCCCTATTTACGGATGAACCCAATATGGCAATACCACAGGTATCTAAGCAAGCTTTGGACAATCATCCACCAGCCCACCAGCAGAAATGACGATTCTGAGGGAATTAAGCTTGTTGACTGAGTGTGAATTGCCAGCTGACCATGATCTCTAAACCTGATATGTACAGTGCGACCGCCATCTTCGGAGCTGACAGAGATTTTGAATTAGACAGTCACTGTCACTTTTCCTGTTTGTTGAGAGAATGATATTTTCAAACCTGGGACGATCCACGGAAGCTTCAGCCAGTTTCAGCCAGTTTCTCTGGCCGCTGCTCGGTTGACATCACCAAGGCTGTTGATTTTGGAGAAGGAGCCACGCCTGAGCTGCAAATGCCTAGAGGAGGGGAGTCTGATGCAGATGAAGCCTCCTTCAAAGCTCCGAGTTTGTTGAACCGAAGCCCTGATGTTTGCCAGATTTTGCCAGTAATTACAGTATGAATTTGTCATCTAAATTTGCCCGTACCTTCTGGCAAACTAACAGTTTGCGATTGAACATGGCCCAGTCGAAATAGTGAGTCTTCCCATTCAAAATGGTGGATCTGCCCATATAAATCACCATTTTCCCATGGTTTTCCCATCATTTTCCCATAAAGAATGGTGGATCATGGTGATCTTTCCATATAAATCACCATTTTCCCATGGTTTTCCCATCATTTTCCCATCAAAAATGGTGGATCATGGTGATCTTTCCATGGTTTGGTGTAAACGTTTACCAGGGGGTAGGAAAAATTCTCTGACCTGGCCAGGCTGTTTGTAACTACTTGCCGCAGTCCCACGAGTCTGGAGCAGCAGACTATGGATTTCTCTCGTTTTTTTTTTGTTTAGATTATTACATACTCATATATTATATGTATATCGTATAATGTACTATACTATATTATACCATACTATACTATATTATACTATACTATAATATACTATAATATACTATAATATATACTATATATGTATGCCGTAGATGTGTATACTGTATAGTTGAATTGTATTTAATTGTTGTATTTGTATATATATATATATACATATCTACAATCACTTTATTGGTTCACATTTCTTCGTTACATGCATAGCCTCCACATAAATGGTGCTACTCCGAGGTCCAACACGCCAAAAGAAGTGCTCTTGATTGCCGAGCTGGCGGAAATCACGAAGGTCGCCAGATCCGAGATTTTCGCAGCGCAGCAAGCGCAGCAAGATCAAAGTATGGGGATGAAGTTGAACCATCAGATACCAGATTAATATAGATATTATGTAATAGTGGATATTATAATAGTGGATATTACTATTAATTATTAATTGAACCATTATATTATGTAATATCCACTATTATTATTATTATCCATTATTAACCATTATTATCCATTATTATCCATTATTAACCATTATTAATCATTATTATATACTACCCTCTGGTAAATTAAGAGATTGACCCTGGCAGTCATCGGGGTTGGAAGACTAGTTTCCATTAAAAATTGGTGATTTTCAGGGTCAACAAGTTAATTTACCAGGGTGTATCAGATATCATGATTCATGATAGATGGCTTCGGGGGAAAATGATGTAAACAAAAATGGGTCACATGGATTCTACGCTCAAAAATATCATGCATTTTGTGCTGCAACATTTCCCCGATAGGGCGCCAGCCATCCACTGAACTGGTTGAACAAAAAACCAGGCATATCCGATATGAACTTTGTCAGATGTGTAAACTCAAAGCCTGTTTTTTGGCAAATGGTTTCGCCCAGAGATTGAGTACCCCACATTTTACTGGCTACTCATCATGTTCCCATTTGGTTGCATAGTGCATGATGTCAAACACGCACTTCGCACACCTGGACTTCGTACTTCATGTTATCACAGGTCGTCGTGCCACAAAACTCCAGCAGTCTTTTGAAACTCTTAAAGTGAGACATGCATGGGATGTGTTTGCATTTATGTATGATGATGATGATTATATATATATATTATATTATATATATATTATATTATATATATATTATATTATATATATATTATATTATATATATATTATATTATATATATATATTAGTCCCTTCGCCTCGTATTTCCCCCCCTGTTTTAGTGCCCCCCCATTCACAGATCCAACTAATCAAGCAAGGTTTCGTTTGGGTCGTGTGCAAAGTGAAAGAGGGACGGGATATCCATATGGGTCCATATGTTTTTTATTAAGTAAGAATTAAACTTTCCATATCATATACATGGTTGACATGTATCATAATATATATGCTCCATGGTGCTGGAATATGAATACCAACATTTGCACCATTTCTATGACCCAGTTTTGTAGGTAAATACACCGTACATGGTTGACATATATCATAATATATATCATTATATATCCATATATATCATAATAATATATATCATAAACATTCCATATCATGATATATATATATATATATATATATCATAATATATATAATTATGGCTGTGATATATATCCATATAAGATATATAAGATATATATATATATATCATGGATATCATGTCCTTTTCTATGGCTTTCTATCCATATCCAGGCAGAATTACCTGTGATCCTGCGCTGGTGCAGGTGATGCAACCCGAGGACCTACAGGGAACCATGTGCCTGGGTGGAATTCATGTGCAATACTCTGTATATTAGTGTATATATGTATACATGTATACATGAATGTTGTATACTGCATATATATAATATACATGTATATACATATATATATAATGTATATATATATATGATATTATATATATATATTGCGAATTCTGAACATCTCGGTGTTACTAGTGAATTCCCATCGTTTTCGATTGACTGGCTCCCCAGTTGGCAAAACCCTGAATCCCGTGCTGAGGCCCTTACTGGTTCGGCGGCTTCCTCAGTTCGGTTTGAAGAATCAAGACAAAAAAAAAACGGGATGTACCCTCTGGTAAACTAACATAGCTATTGAAAATGGCCATTTATTGTGGATTTTCCCATTGAAAATGGTGATTTTCCATTGCTATGTTAATTTACCAGAGGGTAGTTGGTGGATACCGGTTGTGTGTTGGTGTTGTTGATGATGTTGATGATGATGATGATGATGATGACAACTCAAATAGTTGAACTGCAACTCCTTTTTACTCCTTTCTCTACTAGGGCGGCTCTAGTCACTCTAGTGCCGTCCTGCCGAGGCATATGGTGAGGTTGTTTACCTCGCAAAATGCTCAGACCCTTCAATCTGTTCTCCAGTTCTGGAAGGACGCCACCGCCACGAGCAGAAATCAAGATCGAATCCATGGGAGATCTGATCCAACAGATGGAGCTACCTAATAGTACTGTACCATATATTTAACTGACCAGATTTGACATGGGGATGTCCTTCTTACATGGCCATTGATCGTGAAAGCCAAAAAAGAATGGATCTTAATGATGGATCTGAATGGCTCATTCAGATTATTTCAGATTGGCTTTGCCATTTTGGGGTCAACACACAGTACACGGAGAAATTCCTTTTTCGCCAATCCATTCAGATATCCATTCAGCCATTCAGCGACCATCAGAAATGACCGCAGGACGAGCGTGTTTCGCAGTTGTTGAGCCACTTCGCGGATCAGCTGGTTCGCCTGTGGCGACTGGATTCATGTGGCAGCTGATTGCAGCCATAGATATCAGCTAATTTATTGGGGATTTATGATAACCCATAGATTTGGGAAACCTATATGTATCAACCAACTATAGTATAATGATTGTATAATGAGACGGTATTGAGGTATCAAAGACATCATCCATTCACCGATTGAAACTTGGGAGATAATCGAAACCGCCGGCATGTATGCGGCATCTCTTTTCACAGAATCATGTTTTCGTGTCAGGCCGCAGGTAGCCGGAGAGTTGTTTGCCAGATACATGATACATCATGATACACTCTGGGCTATCTTGCCAGTACAGAGTTTCAAGCTTCTTACATCCTGAAAACCAGGGAAATCGGTCGGCCATAAGTCGTCTCAAAACATCCCGCCAGATTCCGAACCTTATGCCCATGTTGCTGCGTGATGGGGAGCTCTTTTGGAACCCCACTGTCCGGGCACCAGTGGAATCCTCTGGGCTTTCGTTGGTTTTCAGCAAACTGGGGCTGCTGTGGTAATGCCATTTGCTGTGTTGTTCATGTGGGAATCTTTGGGATTTGCCGGGATTGTTTTGACAAATGCCTTTTTCGGTCCAATCGACAGGGTTTCTCTTTCAGATTTTCCCAAACCAATCAACCCAATGATGATTCCGTGCTGACCCCAATGCGACCAATTCGGTCGCTATGCTGGGCCAATAAAAGGTGAACAAGATGACGTCTCTAGTCCTGGAGAAATTGGAGGAGGCAGACCCAGAGGTCCTGACCCCCTGCGATATCCTGCGATGGGCTGGCATCTGGACCCAGAAGAATGGTTGGCTGATGCCGATTGATTTACACCTTTCAAGTAACCCTCGGACAGATAGAAAAGTGATTTCTTACTTGTTTTAGTAGGATGTGTCATGATATTTCTATCTTTTTGAGGACCATTGAGGACTACTATGTCTGGATATGCATAGAATCTCAAATGAATCGCCAGAGTTGAACTCAGCATGTCAAGACAAGGTGAAGGTCTACAGTGGGCACCACAGTTGCTGTGATATGGGCGGCCAGGGTTTGCTGAAGCCGACCTCCCAATGTTTTGGACAGTTCCTGACAGTTCCCCGTTCTGCGCCTGCGCCCCCAGCTTGGAAGACAGCACACCATTTGCAGTGCAATTGACTTGCCAGATGACATCTTGAAATTCTTGAAGCACTTCGACTCATAAAAACGTGTGACTTTCATCCCATGACATCATGTAGAACCAAAGATGGGCTGCGGCCGGTGGCGCTGCGCGTCGCTGCGGCCCACAGTGCGGGGGCCCAGTGACGGGAGCTCTTAAACTGGCGAAGCAAAGGCAAGGTGACTCCCCTCCCCAGTTATAAGTTGGTTTACAAGCCCATCCAACTTTAGGATACTTTAGGTATCATAAACCCTATTCAAATCAATTATAAACCAACTTGGCTAACTACGGGTCACTATCTTGCAGGGTTTCTGACGATTGAGGGTGTCTGCAGTGTCCCAAATCCACTGAAAAGCCTCTCAAGCAGCTCGATTCGTGTGTCGATGCTTGAACCACTGGCAGTTTTCATCGAAGTGTGAAGAGATAGTCATGGAGATTATAGTGGGTTATACTAGCCGTATCTCCAGTTATATTGGGGATGTAATTGAGAAATGACGATTAACTCTCTCCAACCTCTGGCCCGAAGGATGCTTCTGTCGCCTTGCCGCATGGCAGGTATGGCTGGGGCTGGCGACTTGCATTGCAGCTTCCGAGGTGGGAACAGAGTGAAACAGAGATGCTTTGGATAGGTCAAATGAACTAGGACACGAACATCCAGCTATATTATTATATCAAGCATGTCACAATTCCGGCACCAGGACGTTTTGAATGTTGAACCTGGGGGCTCAAGAAGTGATCCTCTGGAGATCTCTGGATACTGGATCGGATCACCATCTGATGGCCTGACACGAAACGCATTCCGCTCAGCCAGTGGAAAGTCCTGTTCAGCAAAACAGCAATGAACCTACGCAAGAGCACTGGCACCACAGGAGCAAGAAGTCAAGGCTGCACACATGATTGTATTGAAAAACTATCGCCGGCCCCCCAAAAAATGCATACATACACATGTGGGTTTGTGTGAAAAAATGGTACCCTGGGAATGATTTTAGCCTTGTCTGCGGGCCCTAGGCTCTTCATGCGGGCCCTAGCGGCTCTTCAGCCCTTTGTTGGAACCAGTATTTCTGCAAATTGACTCCATTTCGAGCTTGTTCCCCGGGTTATCCAACCATTTTCAGGGGATCACATGGGACCACCCGGGTGGTAAACCACTTACGAACTGAAATGATCCTCCAATTCTCCCAATCCGCGGTGTGATGACTCGATGAGTAACTGATCCCATGGACGCTGCAGCGCAGAATGTGAGAGGCGCCGCGGCGCCGCGCTGGCTCCGGTTTTTTCACATGGGAAATCCAGGAAATTCATGGAAATCCCTGAACCAGCCATGGAGGTCTGCTGGGAAAATCATTGAACCCATTTTAAATAATCCCTATTATAAATGATAGGATTTAATGGAATATAATGGAAATCCATGGAAACCCCTTTTATAAAATATATTTATAATATATAAATGGGATTGTTTAGCCCATTTTTTGACCGGAGCGTGCAAAATTTCATGATTCCCGGATTCCCATGGTGACACCATGTGACACCTTTTCCCATCTGTTGAAGTAGGACCCCTTTACAAACTTGTATTTTGAAACCTCAAGAAACAATGGAACACGGATGCAACATGATGCACCATCAAATCATCAACTGGTGAGTTTCTGGAAGGTATCATCCGGCAATCAAACATAGCAATTGGAAATCCACCATTTAGTTCGATGATTTTCCCAGGAAAGCCTCTGAATTTAATTAATTAAATGAGGCATTTCCCCAGCTAGCCACGTTTGATGACACCAGTGGGTAGATTATCATAATTTATCATATATGAGTTATATATATATATATATTATTATTATTATTACTACTACTACTAACTACTACTACTACTACTACTACTACTACTACTACTACTACTACTACTACTACTACTACTACTACTACTACTACTACTACTACTACTACTACTACTACTACTACTACTACTACTACTACTACTACTACTATATATTAGCCCATGAAAACTCCATAAATATCCCCTAAGAAAACTCATGAGCATCCCATAAAATCTGCACATGGCGAGGTTCCGTGCAAGCGGTTCCCTTCCTCAGCCCCCACCAGTTGGTGGAAACGGCGCAGTCGGCCAGAATGAGTGACTCGGCTGACAGCTAAGTGGTGGAAATCGGAAAACGGTGGAACAAAAGGAACTGTTATCAAATGGAAATCTATGGAAATCTGATATCATGGGAATCTATGGAAATCTGATATCATAGCAGTGGAACTAACAATGGGAAATCTATGGAAATCTGATATCAATAGAGGTTGAAAAATGGGAAACTTATAATCTATAGATATCTATAGGGGCTTCAGCATGCTTCAGCCTGGGAACCAAACGGATTCCTGGTTGGCGGTTTCAAATATTTTGTATCTTCCATAAGATATGGGATAATCCTTCCCATTGACTTTCATATTTTTCAAGATGGTTAAAACATGTTAAAACCACCAACCAGATTCATTCTCGTTTCATAGTCTGCTTCCGATGTTTCGAACCGCTGTGAAAAAATCATCCCCAGCAGCGCGCAGCGAAACTCGCTGGGCCAGGTCCCCATATGGCAGTCCCAGGTGCACATTGGAGGATGGGATTTGCTGGACACCCCCAGATTTGAGGATAGAAACCCATGGCTGCAAGGAGATGTTCCGGTAACAGTGCATAAAAACCTATGGGTTCCGCCCTGGGTTCCTGTAAGTTTTCCCAACCAAGCGACATATTTCCAGTCTCATAAACACTGCTTTCTCAACGGAGCAAGACCAAGATGGCCAGCAACTTGTGGAGTCTTATCCCAGCGGAACTTTCAACTTGTGGCCCTCTTCTGGCGGTACATAGAAGTGATATCCCCATTTCAGATGGTTTGACCGTAAATTTTACTTGGTTCCAGAGAGAACCTTGGCTGCGCATTTTTGCAGCCGTCCATGAAAAATTATCATTTCTGTTGCTGCCTCCATTTTCATCATTGATTCAACCGTGCTGAAGGTGACAATGGCTAAGCGGCTCATGAACCCAATAGTCAGTATTTCTTGGATGTTCCTTGGTGGTTCACAAGGCCTATTTTTGAAACATTTTGAAACCCTTGATTTCACACTTCGAAGCTGGAGAGCGAATAGCTCCACTCTTTCCAGGTGGGTTTGTCTGAAAATAGGGTATATTCCCAATTATAGCCATTTAATAGGGATAATGATCATTAACCATTGGGTTTAGGGGTACACTATTTTCAGACACATCCAGGCTGCTACATGATCCCTCCTGGCACCATTGAACCCTGGTCGCACAAGCCGAACCTCATCCAACGCAACGAAGCCGAGTGCCTGGGCATCGCTGCCTGATCTTGGATGACTTCGTTTTTGGATGCCTTGTGACAACCTCATTTATTCAAATTTATTCCATGTTCCCATTAATGCGAACCATGGTGCTGGAATATGAATCCCAACAGACTTGCCCCATAAAATCCATAAATGACCCAGTTTTGTAGGTTTTTATATACCAGCACCATGGTTCGCAGATGGGTTTATTCACTCCTGATGGGCAGAATGTGTTTGATGTCCTTGCCGCAGAAGCGAAAACCCAGGCGTGTGCGAAAACGAGAGGAGGCCGCTGACTGGCTACCTACGTAGCATTGGAAAAATGCATGGATTAAGGAATTTAGAGGTTTTTTTTTTTCACATGGAATCGTTGAATCGTTCAAGGGAAAATGGATATATATATATATGGAGATTCATGAATTGCGGAAAGCATCAACATGGAGATTCATGAAACTTGCAAAACAAGGCTTCATCCATCCTGTGAATCCAAACGAATCACCAGTCCCATGAATCCCATGAATGTGACCTCGAAGCAGCAAATGAGATGGCTAGGTCCCTAGATCTCCAGTGTTTTACATATGTGTTTTACATAAGTAGGTTAACCCCATTCCAGAAGTAGGTTTTTTCTGTGACACACCCAAGGCTTTTTCGCATGTGAAACGCAGCCATGACTTTCTGACTGTCATATATTGGCTCTTTGTTAACCCTATTGTTCTCAATTATTGTTTTCTGTGACACACCCAAGGCTTTTTCGCATGTGAAACGCAGCCATGACTTTCTGACTGTCATTTTGGCTCTTTGTTAACCCTATTGTTCTCAATTATTGTTTTCTGTGACACACCCAAGGCTATTTTTCGCATGTGAAACGCAGCCATGACTTTCTGACTGTCATATATTGGCTCTTTGTTAACCCTATTGTTCTCAATTATTGTTTTTTGTGACACACCCAAGGCTTTTTCGCATGTGAAACGCAGCCATGACTTTCTGACTGTCATATATTGGCTCTTTGTTAACCCTATTGTTCTCAATTATTGTTTTCTGTGACACACCCAAGGCTTTTTCGCATGTGAAACGCAGCCATGACTTTCTGACTGTCATATATTGGCTCTTTGTTAACCCTATTGTTCTCAATTATTGTTTTCTGTGACACACCCCAAGGCTTTTTCGCATGTGAAACGCGGCCATGACTTTCTGACTGTCATATATTGGCTCTTTGTTAACCCTATTGTTCTCAATTATTGTTTTTTGTTTCGCTTCATATATTGGCTCTTGTAACCCTATTGTTCTCAATTATTGTTTTTTTGTTGGCCACACCCCCACGGACTTCGCTGTGAACACCGCAGCCCATGACCTTTTGATGTATCTCTGGCTTCTTTGTTAAGGACCACTCTAGGGATACATAGTCATTGTGATGATAGTGATTGTTTACTTGTGGTGGAGAGACCGAGGGCGAGCAGAGGAGGACGTGAAGAGTTTACGGCACCAGACGGTGTGAAAGCCGACGCAGCCCTGACTTTCTGACTGTAATCTTGGCTTCTTTGTAACCCTATTGTTCTCAATTATTGTTTTTTGTGACACACCCAAGGCTTTTTCGCATGTGAAACGCAGCCATGACTTTCTGACTGTCATATATTGGCTCTTTGTTAACCCTATTGTTCTCAATTATTGTTTTTTGTGACACACCCAAGGCTTTTTCGCATGTGAAACGC